AAGGACATTTAAAAATCATTTTGGAGTTATAACACTTATTGGAAATTCACTTATTTGTATTAGTCAGGACAGCCAAAGAGATGTTTCATTTTCTTGTAAAATAAAGATGTGTGTCACAGACACAAGGCCATTATCATAAAATAACAAAATTTCAAAGATAAAACAACATCCTTTGAGTGAATTTGATAGCAAAATTGCAAAAGAAATGATAAGTCAGATGACGTTTTGTAGGATACCCTGTCAAGAATATGACAGAGTTTGTAATTTTATTGTTTTTTTATTTTAAAGAGAATAGTAAAAAAAAAGAACAATAGCAAAATACCCACATCACAGACAAAAACAAAACAAAGCAAAAACATTAAAAATGATGCAGAGTTTCAACACAAAGTGATAGGAATTAACAGTGGTTGTTATATTACATATTGTTATCTTCAAAGAAGTTGCTCGGATTACCAGATGTAAGAATGCAAGATTGATCAAGCCATTAAAGAGAATAAAAAATAATAATTAAAAAACATTAGAGATGATACAGAGTTTCTCTAGACAAGATGGTAGGAATTCACCAATGGTTGCTATATTGCATATTGTTGTCTTCAAATTGGTTGCTCAGATTACTGAGCAGATTAACAGATGTAAACATGCAAAATTGGTTGAAATAAAAAAATTAAGCATTAACTGTTCCTTTCAATAAACCACCAGACCTCAGCAGTACAGTTATCCCAGCTATCCTTCTATGTACATACATATCTTTATCTATCTCCCTATCTATCTCCCTATCTATCTATCTATCTATCTATTATCTATCTATTTATCTATCTATCATTTTGCCTTCCTTCTTTCTTTCTCTCCTTTCCATCATCCCAGTTGTTCCTTCCTTTGAGCAGTTTCTTTCCCTTTCATATTATCTATTGTACATTTTGGGTTTTATTTACTCTTTCAAGTTCTTACACCAAGGAGACAATATGATGTTTACACATATGGGTCTGATTTATTTCACTTATGAGCATGGTCTCTAGTTGCATCCATTTACCTATAAAATCCTCAAGTTTATCTTTTTTATAGCTGAGTAATACTCCATTGTATAAAAATACCACATCTTTTTTTATCCCTTTTGTATCCATTCTTCAGCTGATGGGCATTTGGGTTGTTTCCAAGATTTAGCTATGACAAATTGTGCTGCTTTAAACATAGGTGCACCTATACTGCTGTGGTATGATGTTTTTAATTTTGGACATATACCCAGAAGGGGAATAGCTGGGTTAAATGGGAATTCTAATCCTTGTTTTGTGAGGAATCTCCAGACTGATTTCCACAGTGGTTTCACGAATCTACACTCCCACCAGCAGTGTAGAAATGTTCCTTTTTTCCCACATCCTGTCCAGCATTTGTTATTTGTTGATTTCTTAATTATAGCCATTCTTTCTGAGGTGAGATGGAATCTCAGTGTTGTTTTAATTTGTATTTCTTGAATGACTAGTGATATGGAATATTTTTCACATATTTATTTGCCATTAGCATTTCTTCATCTAAGAAGTGTGTATTCATCTCAGGTCCCATTTTTGAATTGGGTCTTTGAATTTTGGGAGCCTGATTGTTTTTAATTCTTTGTATGTTCTACATAGAAGTCCTTTGTCTGAGGGGCAGTTGGCTAAAATTTTTCCCAATTCATGGGTGTTCTTTTTGTTCTGTTGATGATTTCTTTTGATGTGCAGAAACTTTTCAATAAAATGAGATCCCAGTTGTTGATTCTTTGAAGTATTTCCCGTGCAGTTTGGTATTTGTTCATGAACTCTTTGTCTACCCCCATGTCTTCAAGAGTTTTATCTACTTTCTCTTTCAGTAGATTTAGTGTTTCTATTTCAGTATTTGGATCTTTGATCCATTTTGACTTTAATTTAGTGCCTGGTGATAGATATGGTCTAGTTTTAGTCTTCAGCATGTGGAAAGCCAGTTTTTCCAGCACCATTTATTAAAGAGGCTATCTTCCTTCCAGTGAACGTGTTTGGTCCCTTTGTCAAGGATAAGGTAGCTGCGTTTGTTTATAGTTGTGTCTGCATCTTCTAGTCTGTTCCATTGATCTTCAGGTCTGTTGTTTTGCCAGTATCATGCTGATTTTATCGCAGCAGCTTTGTAATACAATTTAAAGTTAGGGATTGTGGTGCCTCTTGACTTTTCTTTGTTGTGCAGGATTGCTTTTCAATTCTAGGCCTCTTCTGGTTCCAGTTAAATTTTAGGAATGTCTTCTTTAGGTCTGTGAGATATACTGATGATATTTTAAATGGGATTGCATTGAATCTGTGCAACAATTTTGGGAGTATGGCCGTTTTTACAATGTTGGTTCTCTCTATTCACGAGCAAGGAATATATTTCCATTTTGTGAAATCTTCTTCATTCTCTTTTTTCAGAGTACTGTAATTTTCGCTGTATAAATCTCTTACTTCTTTTGTTAGACTGATTCCCAAGTATTTCATTTTTTATAGGTGCTATTATGAAAGATGTAGTTTCCCTAATTTCTCTCTCAGTCTGTTTGTTGTTTGTGTACAGGAATGCTATTAATTTTTGAGTGTTGACTTTATATCCAGCTATGCTCCTGAGTTTGGTTATTAAATCTATAAGCCTTTTGGTGGAGTTTTTGGGGTCTTCTATGTAGAGTATAGAGCTTGTAATTTTAATACAAATCTTTTTTCTGATAAAAGAGAAATGACAAAGGAGGAATCACAGCATAACTACCCCAAAGTTTTCATGTAAGTGAAATTTATATGAAATATAGTATAGATATTTTTATCACATATTTATTTTCATAATTCATATGAGTAAAAAGATAAAAATATCCTGGAATGTTCTGCAAAACTTATTTAATTAGGATAAAGAATACTCTTGTTAAGATTCTTGACTTTTGGTCATTCAGATAATTTTTCTCTGATTAAGAAATATTAAATTGCATAAGTAAGTGGTATGTAAAACTTCTGTGTCTTCTCTAAGCTGGATAATGGATGGACTGCTCAACTATTGAGATTATCTCACTCACCTCCTCCACCTAATTCCCTAATGAATTAAGAGATATTTATGTGAGTTTTGGGGTTAGAGCCTATTTAAGTCCTTTCTTAGTTGAGTGAGTAGTTGTGAGTGTATAATTCCCACATGACATATTTAATGGAATAAATTTACATTCCTATGTTCTGAAACCAGTTTGGAATACTGAATATTTAGGTGTGGATACTCTATATTTTCTGAGATAATATAATCTCAGCCAGTTTTGTCTTTTACTTACTCACCTTTGTTACATTTTCCAAGGAACTCTATGCCTATCCTTCAAATTCTGGCCAGCCTTGTGGTGGGCAACGGTCTTTGGGGTTTCTTGAACATGGACCCTACCTTGTTGTTACTTGATCATATGATCAGTGTTGACAGGATTGAGGGGTCAGTGTTGGGGAGAGAGTATTTTGTAAAAGCACCTTAAACAATAGAATCATAGACAGTATAAATAGATAGGTAACAGGTTACTGTGATTGCCCTTGGTGATCATAACTTTGATCCTTCAATTTGAAATACATTTCCTGGCTTCCTTTCTGTGCATTAGCAGGGCAAGGGTCACAGCTGGGTCTGTAGCTGCCAAGAGATGTTTTGGCAGGTTGTTTCTTTTTATGGCAGGTTAAATCAAACCCCTTTGATTTTGATATATGTTATGTCAATGAGAGCTGGATTGGTTGCTTAAATAAAGTATGGAGAGTCTTCTCTTTAAACAATGTTTGCAAGAATAAATAAAACTAAAAATTTACAATAGATGAGAGGAAAGGGAAAGAAACTGCTCAAAGGAAGGAATGACTGGGATGAGGAAAAGAAGAAAAAAGAAAGAAAGAAGGCAAAATATAAATATATATATATATGAATAGCTGTGATAACTGTACTGCTGATGTCTGATGGTATATTGAAAGGGACAGTTAATGCTTAAAATTTTTTATGTTCTGACAAATTTTGCATGTTTATATCTGGTAATCAGAGCAATTGATTTGAAGGTAACAATATGCAATGGAACTACCACAGTGAATTCCTACCACCTTGTCTAGTGAAACTCTGTATTATCTCTAATGCTTTATCTAATAATTATTTTCTCATTGTCTCTAATGGTTTGAACAATCTTCCATTCTTACATCTGGTAATCTAAGCAGTGTAGTTGAAGATAACAGTATGTAATATAACAACCATTAATTCCTATCATTTTGTCTTGAATCCCTTATCACTTTAAATGTTCTTGCTTTGGTTTGTTTATGTTTGTGATACTGGTATGCTGCTATTGTTCTTTTTTTTTCTCATTTACTACTCTCTTTAAAATAAAATTTAAAAAAACAATGTTGACTTCTATCAGAGAAAGATATATGGGCAACAGGTATTTAAAAACTCAAGATATTATTTCTTATTAACAGACTGAATAAAAGCATTCATCTGGACTATTAATACTAATAGAGAAATTCAGAGAATATGGTTTATAAAAAATAGAGGATGCATTTAGAAAGCATTGGAATACATTTTATTTTTTCATTATATCAGTACACAAAATGATGAAACTATGTGATAAAAATCAGATTTTAGAGAAAGTAAAGGTTTTTATTCCTTTCCTGTATCCCACAGTATATCACCTTTCAAAATACTCAAATACTTTAAAACAGTGCTTTCTGATGAATCAAACTTACAACAAAGATTTTATTTAAAGATTTTACTTAAAACTACTTTGCTGGGCTGGGGATTTAGCTCAGCGGCAAAATGCGCCTGCCTGGCAAGTGCAAGGTCGTGAGTTCGGTTCCCGGTACCGGAGGGAAAAAAAAAAAAAAAACAAAACTACTTTGCTAAGGTAATACTGGGAGTAATGGAAAGCAAAAAAAAAAAAAAAAAAAAAAAATGTAGGATTTAAGTGAAGAAGACTGGGACCTGTTCAGGAGGTGTGGAAGCTACAGCCAGGGATAAGTGAAGATTGACTTTCTGGTGAAAGGCACACACTTACATAAAAGGACTGGTGTATTCTAAATGGAGGGTGATCCTTTAGGTAGTATACTTGAGGATGTACTTGGCAATAAATTTGACAGCTAGCATGGTCTCTTTGCAGGTTGGCTTTATCAGTGATTCCGGAAGGAGGAAACCAAATTTGCCTTTATCACGGAGCTCAAAGGCAAACGTGTGTTTGATGCCCAGGTCATAAGCCCAGTCTAAAGAAGACCCTGCTGCTGGATCTGCAAAGCATAAGCAATAAATATTGAATTAGAGATAAATATTAACATTTTCATTGAAATGGAACTCACTGGTGTAAAATTAACAATAAAAAAATTATGTGTGCAGTTAATTGCAGTAATGAGTAAGAGTAGTGGTCTAAAGGGTACAGAGCATGTAGTAAAACATAGTCATGAATTTGTAATCCGCCATACATTTTAAATACATGCTACATTTAAAAAATTACATTTTGGTTGGGTCAGGACTAAACTGACTCTACTTCCTAGACACACATTGCTGCAGACAGATCAAGTACAGGCAGTGGAGGAAACCAGCTGAGAAGTTGTCACACTGGTCATTGAAAGTCACCAGGGAAAACTACACAAAGCTATCCCCAAGTATGCTGTTTGTAATGGTTTAGGTCTCCATATAGTCATGTTGCAAGGGTAAAATGTCATAATTAGAAGGCCAGAAAAGCTTAAATTAGTGATTTTAAGGACATATTTAATCCTTTAATCCATACTTCCCATGTCAACTTTTATGAAATTCCATTAAAGATATTTTTTAATATTGAGATTTGAAAATATAAGTGTAAATCTAGAGGATATATATATCTCACATCCAGAAGTTATATGTAAGTGTGTGTATGTATATATATATATATATATATATATATATATATATACTATCAATGTTTTTACATGTATTCTACTTTATGTACTAAATAAGTGGTTCTTTTGTATAAAATCATTTATGTTCTAGAGCAAGTAATGAGCTTAACTGATACTGATTAGTTTATGTTTGAAGATAAGAATCCAAAGCTGTGATTAAGAAAGAGGGAAAGACTATTTTGTTGGAAAGAGGCAGAGTTGGCTCATAAATTATTCAACAAACATTTATTAATTCACCTGACATTGCTACAAAAGAGTGCAAGTTACAGAGAGGGTGCCATAGAGTCTCCAGGGACTTATAACTCAGGAGAGAGAAGTGAAAGTGTAAATCCATACAGATGACTAGATACATTATGGACCATCGGAAAGGGCAATGACTTAAGGAAAAAAGAGATTATGCTTGGTGAGAACAAAGACATTTCATTCCCATCTTTGCTGAATACTGCCTTTGTGATGCAGAAGGTATTTGAGAACCTTGAAGAAAGGTGAGTTTTTTTCTAGGTGGAGGTGAAAGAAAGTCATTCTGGCTAGTGATGACCAGGATGGAAAAGCCTGGAGCTATTTTAGGAACCTGTGGGAAACATTTGAGTTGGAGCAAAGGAAGCAGTGAGAGTTTGTGGGCAAAGTTCAGGAAACCTTGGAAATCATGATGTTTAAATTTGGAGAGACAGTATGCTACTTCTGCACATGCAGATGTTTAATCTGGATTGGAAAGAGCAGAGAGCAGTCAGGAGGCATGGGGAAGTGAAACCTTAACCTGGGCTAGAGTCAAAGCCCTGGGAAGAAAATTGAGGGACTTATTTAAGAAACACTGATATGAAAGAGCAATCAGAGTTGCTAAAAAATTTCAATCTGGGTATTTGGGAAAAAATAGCATATTGTTAATGGAAAGAGGAACTCAGAGAGCATTTGGATGAGGAAAAGAAATGGGAAAGGAAGGCAGAATGATGTGTTTAGCACTCGTAAGACATTCAGGAAGCAGCTCAGGAAAATGAAGCTTGAAATTATCGGCAGAAGCAACATAAGTAGAATTGGTGTGCACACATTCAAGGTTATTGTCTTCTTGGTGAATTGATCCTTTTCTTATTTAATAATTTAGTGCTCTCTTTGCAACTAGCAACTTTTTTTTGTTCTGAACTGTACTTTATCTGATTTTTACCCATTTTTAGAATTTTAAAATTTTTTGTGGTGTTGGGGATTGAGCACTGGGCTTCATACCTGCTAGGGAGGTTGTCTGTTACTCAGCTATGCCCCATTCCTCTCTGACCTGTAGAGATTAATATAGCTGCTTCTTTTTGGTTTAATAAACATTTTTTATCCTTTTTATTTTAATCTTTACTGTTATATATATATATATTTTTTTTTCCCCCGGTACCAGGAATTGAACTCACGATCTTGCGCTTGCCAGGCAGGCGCTATGCCGCTGTGCTAAATCCCCAGCCCCTTTACTGTTATATTTAAGATTAGGTTTTTTTTTGTGTGTGCGTTTTTTGAGACAAGGTCTCCCTATGTAGTCTAGGCTGGCCTTGAACTCACTATGCAACCCAAACTGGCCTTGAACTCTCTGTGATCCTTCTGCCTCAATCTCCTTGACTAAAAGTCGATCAGATGCTTTATTAGAGCAGTTATTTCTAGAAATTTTGAATACTTATTGAGCTGCTACAGCCTTATATGAAGGAGATGATTCTATACAAATTTTGTCTTCCTTAAAAAAAGTTTCATTTATTTATTTATTTATTTGGTGCCAGAAATTGAACTCAGGACCTTGCGTTTGCCAGGCAGGTGCTGGGCTCCTGAGCTATATCCCAGCCCCTCCAAAATTTTTGTACAATATAGTAAAAATTAAAATACTACCCAGTTGTACAGAATAGTGATTTCTCTGGGTCCTGTCCTCCCATTTTGAAAGTGACACAGGATGGGATGGAGCTCTGATACCTCCAGCTATCTGCCTCTCTCTGTGAGAATGCACTTTCCTTGAGAGCATTATTATGACTTAATACTTTCTACCCATCCCTGAAAACTCCAAAATACCAGGGTATTTGGCAGGCACGCTAAAGTTTTTGTTCACTAAGAGATTATGATATAGTGCCATACATACCTCTTTAACTTATAGTGTTATAACACACACACACACACACACACAATGCTCACACAAGTAGACAAGATAGAGTCCCATTCAGTTTAAATAGTTAAAAAATAAGTGCAGACTCTGTCTCAGTTAATTCTTGTTAGTTCCTGTAAAGATAAAATGTTACTATTGGTAGAAATGGGAAAAAGGGAAAGTGTTATGATTTGTGTCTAACTGTCCCCTCAAAGCCTCATGTGGTCCTAGGTGGGGCTTTTTCAGAGGTGGCCAGATCTAGAGTGTGTGACGCTGGAATTAATTCATGGTGCAATTCTAGGATCCAGGGCACCAGAATTAAGGGTGTAAGTGCTGTCCACGCTAAGTGGCCTGGATAAGATATAAGGCAGAGAAAGAGCTGTGGTGTCCCTTTTTGCTTTGCTACCTTCTGCCGGCCATGAACTCTTTCTCCTCTGCAATGCTGCTCGGCCGTTCCACGTCTACAAACTGTGAGCTAAATAAACCCTTCCTCCTCTAACTTGTGGATGTCCGATATGCTGTCTCAGCAAGAGAAAAAAGTAACTAAGACAAAAGAGCACGTATTAAAGTGTAACTTTGTATTTAATAACACAAATTGAATAATTGTATTAACTATTGATTTAGTAATTTCTGCTAACCCTGTAATGTAAAAGTGTATCATAATCTGTTTAGAAAAATCTCCCCTCCCCACAAGATGTGATCTGTTCACTAAATTCACACATGATTCACAATCTCCTGTGAAAACGTAAGTTCAAATCTAGTTCAATTTGAACTAGATTTCTAATCCCAACTTACACATTTGTTAGATTTCTTTTTTTTTTTTTTTGGTTTTTCTCCGGTACCGGGAACAGAACTCACGACCTTGCGCTTGCCAGGCAGGCGCTTTTGCCGCTGAGCTAAATCCCCAGCCCCCACATTTGTTAGATTTCTTTAATGTTTATAAAAAGAATTGGGAAAAGGGTCACAGTAAATGGCAAGAGAAACTTACCAATTATTGATGCTGTTGGACCATAAATATAGCTGGTTTCATACCGAGTTGATACAACGTCAGTGCCAATCTTTGCAACTTTGTTCTGGAAACATAGGAAAGTTGCAGTAGAATAATAAAATACTCATATTTACTCAACTTACTAGGTACTAAAAATCATCTTACAGGTTATTTGCCATTTTAATATTGAGTAATATAAAGGGTTAAATGAGAAACATTTTCAGTAAGCGATGTTAGTGATTGTAAAACTTCTAAATGTGAAATCAATTGTATACGGCAATACCAGATTTCATTTTCTCTCTCTCTCTCTCACTTTCTGTTAAACCATGCATTCTTTTTTCAGCAATTTTTTCTGAGGTGGGTTCAAATATTTGTCTTTTCCAAAGTCAAGTTCCCAGGTTCCCCATCCCTTTGTGTATAATAGGTACCACATTGCTGCAGGACTTTTCTGTATTCACCTGGCCTCAGCATACCCAGGGAAGAAAGAAACTTCTCCTTTCAGGTGTCCTGTTAAATGACGGTTTTTCTTCCAGAGTGGGATTTTACGTTCTTTAGTACACATTAGTGATCTGTATTATGAAAATGATTCTTGGAGTGAACTTTAACAAAATAGAGTCATAACATATTTGCATTCCAGATGAAGTTTTTTTAGTCTATACAGATAGTGCATCTAACTAAGAAATAGTTTCTTCTAAATTAACTTAGCTGCTGTGTAAGAACTTTTATTTTACTTGAAGTGACTGTTGTATATATATATGCATTTTTATCTATAATATCATTTTCCTTGGAGTAGATTGAAATTGTGTTGCTATATCATTGCACAAATTAATCAAACTCATGGGTTAAGATTCTCAGCTGGGTTGGGTAACAAATAACTTTACAGGCCACCTGTTTCTCTAGAAACAGATTATGATACACTTTTATGTTACAGGGTTAGCAGAAATTATCAAATTAATAGTTAATACAGTTATTAAATTTGTATTATTAAAATTGTATTATTGCTTATTTTCTTTGTTGTATACACATAGATTGATTTAATGACTTCTTTAAATCTGTGATCTAACTCACATCAGGTACTATTGTGCTAAATACAATAGGCTGAGGTCAAAGTGAAAATTGAGATTTATTTTTTCCCTCACGTTAGTTTTACAAGGCAGTACTTGAAACGTAATTTTTACTGCATATTTCCTGACTAGCATGGGATTCATGCTAGCCTTTATCTGTTTTATGTGATTTCTTCTGCAACAATTCAAGATATTTATTCTTATATTCACTCATTTACCTCATCACTTCCTGTGTGGTGGTTTTTTTGACACCCATTTGTGGAGTATTTTTCTCAAAGCTAATATGATCAAATCAGTTTTTGTGGAAAGAAAAATAATGTTCAGTGCATCAAAATGTTGGGAAGATAGTATGTTCTTAGAAATGAAGCTAACAGAATTAGCATCATTTCCAGGTTTTTCCAGGATAAAAATACAATGGATCTCCTTAAATCTGGTGTCTCAGGATACAACTAACAACTGTCTTTATTGATCAGTTAGGCTTTTGCTGTGGAAGTTTTGTAGTGTGACCCACGGTAAATGTTTTCTGAGCTCTGCAGTAGTAGAACCCTACTCTGAATAGTTTTGATATTTCTCCTTCAGGTTTCCTATTACCTTCAGGTTTCTTATTTAGAGTCACATTAAGAGATTTCCTTCTTAAAATGCTCAAAAGTAAAGGGCAACTGGGGTGTGGGAAAAGAGAAGCGAAAGAAGGGGAAATTATGTAAGTATGTATATACAGGACAGCTAACATAGTTGTACTACTGTCTTCTATTGCTCTACAGAAAGGAACAGTTAATGATTACTTGTTTGATCAATCTTGCATGTTGTTTTCCTGAGAAACCACTTTGAAGATAACAACAAGTAATACAACAACCATGGTTAATTTCTACCACTTTGTCTGTAACTCTGTTTTGTTTGTACTGTTCTTATGCTATTTTGTAAATGGATGTCTGTTTGTTAATATGTTTTCCTTCTTTGATTTTTTTTTTTTAAGAGATTTCCTTCTCTATATACTTTTATCATGTGGAAATTAAAGATCATGACTTGAACTCCAAATAAAACTTAATTAGCCCTTTTCTTTGGGATTAAAATATGGAATTCCTTCAACATAACGCAAGTTAACAAAGAATGGACTGAAAAACAATAGTGATGTCAATGTATAAAGCACAGATTTTCCGCACATACCAGGTCCTTGTGGTTGGGCGGCAGTTTTGTTGTATAACCGTAGGGAAACAGGAGCTTCTGGGAGTAGGAATGGAAGGTGATGTAGGCTTTGATGGATTTCAGGTGGCTTCGAATGAAACAGGTGACAGCTCTTGTTTCTTTCTCAGATTCTGGGGCAGAGCCCCCATAGATGTTACTGCACGGATTATTATCGTTTAGAGACGCTGCAGAAGACATGCGAAGATGCGATTACAATCTGCTCTGAATCAGCACAGCCCTACCTTTTCTGATGTGGATTCCCAAAATACCTTCAACATTTTGGCCTCTTATGTTTACAGAGCTGCCTCCGTGTCTCTTGTGACACAGACTAAGTGTACATCGATGTCATATTGTAAAATTTAGTCCATGGGGATATACTTAAACTTGTCTATTTCCCCTCTCCTTTCCTATGGCCATAGGACAAACACATCCAAAGCATCCCAGGGCTTAGCGCCAATAGACACTCCTTTCAATTCTATTCCAACTCTAATTTGCTAGGGTCTAAGGTAAACACCTTTTCTGAGCCATTTTTTTCATCTTGTTTTAATAGGAAGCTCTTGACTAGCAATGCCTACAACCATCATCATATTCATTATGTTAGAATTAAAAATGGAGGTGATATTTTTAACCAAATTAAATGCAGAAGAAATACATGAATTGGGGCAGGGGTGATTTTTACCCATAAGAATAATCATTCAATTTTACTTGGGCAGCAACAGCAGCACCATCTAATAAAGAAGGCCTCATTTCTATTAAATATTTCCCCTGCCCCCCGATGTTTCTTTTCACTAAGAATCTAAAGAATTACTTGTATTTCCTTTTTATCCACTGGCATTTCTCAACTTTCATCAGAGCAGGAACAGGAAGGACCTGCGGTCTCTTCAGTTTATCTGAATTTTTGTATATCTGGATTTTAACTGCCTTTTAGAGGGCTAGACATGAGAGATGATTTGATAAACAACTGCCCCTTAAAAGAAAAACCATGCATCTCTCTATGGTAGTGATGTTTATTTTCCCTTTAGTAGATGAGAAAATTAATGCTCTTTCGGAGAATACTTATTTTTACTAAAATAAGGAGGTGGTTTAGTGAAGTTCCGTTTCTTTTTTGTTAATTAAAAAAAAAATTTAGAGATGCATACAAGTGCAAATACTGCATGGTTTCTCTTATATGAGAATCTCTCTCTCGCTCTGTATATATATTCAGCTTCTAGATGCTCCAGCAGTTTTTGTCAATACGAAGCCTACAACTCACAGTTCCATGAGACATCAAAATTCCTGTTGAGGTCAGTGCCGATACACCTGGAATTTGGGTTTCTGGAACGATTTTTTCTCCACATTCGGTTCTGCCAGAAGGACACGCGGAAGCATTTATATCAGATCAGTTTGTACTTTTCAACTTGATCACTTCAGATTCTCTTTTCAGGTATCTATAGCTGTATTTGAAATTTACCTGGCTAAGATGCATGCTTTTATTTTAAAGAAAGATACTGTTTTCTTGTAATTTGTAATTAGAAATGGATGCTGATATTCCTAGGACTTGAAATAATTTGGTTAGGTTCTAAAAACTGTTGCATAGTTCTTAGTATTAGAGATTTGTCATGTTCTGGAATTATGTATAAATTAAATTATATCTTGATTACATTTTCTATCATTTATAGATTCAGATAAAATACAGGTCAAATTGTGACTATAAGAGCATAGCTTTTAGGAAAGAACTTGATGTTGTACTATCTGTCTGAAAGTTCAGTATAACTCTTATAAACAACAGAGCAATAGAACATCCTGTTAAAAGATTCTGACCTGTCTTTATTTATGCTTTGATATTATGACTCTCTCTCAATCCTTTCCCAAAATGATGGAATAAAATGATTTTTGCTTTAAAGTCAGTGTGTTTGTAAAAGTCTCTAAATGGCTTTTATTCTCAGCTAAAATACACTATTTCATACACTAATGCATTTCCTTTTAATGACTGCTTTTATTTCATTTTTTCGTATTACTACCTTCAGCAGCAAAAAAATTCATGTTATTTCAAGAACTTGTGCAACAAGAAATTATAGTTGACTTAATTTGAAATTGAAAATTTCAAATGTACAGATTTCTGAATTGAAATTAAATTATTACCCAAATCTTATATTTAATACACAACTATAAATATGCAGTAAAGCCAATAAATAATGTAGTCTTTAAAGGCAAATAAGAGAATATAGAGCAGTACCTGTGTCCATGACCAAATATATCCATCAACATTGAACACAGGAAGAACATAAAAATTCATTCGGTCCAAAAGTTTGGTCATAATTTTGTTTTTTCCATAACTTTTTGTTGCCTGTAAGTGTAAGTAAAAAAAAAAAAAATCAGTATATTGGTGTGAAATTTACTTACCATGGGAAAGCTGTGGTTCTAATAGTCATAACTATCATTCCTCGAGTCATTTGCCTTCATTTAAGTGATTTTAAAAATATTTTTCTTAAACTGCACAAAAGTAAAGGACCCATCAAGATTATAGAAAAACTACTTATGTATACTAATGACACTAATTGAGGTATATTTTTTAATGGATCAATTAATTATTGAAACATAAAGCTCTCAGAATGTAGCATGCAAGTCATTTCATGGGAAGTGTAGAAGCCAAGTAGAAATTTTTTTTTTTTTTTTTCTGGTACCGGGAATCGAACTCACGACCTTGTGCTTGCCAGGCAGGTGCTGTGCCGCTGAGCTAAATCCCCAGCCCCACCGAGTAGAAAATTAATAATGCTACTTGTTTTGCCTGCTTTTTTCCCTTATATCTTTTACATAAATACAGATTGAGTTAATAAGCATAGGAATATGTAAATATTGGAAAAGTTAACATGTTTACAAATAGGATTAAAGAAATAACTTTCTTTCTTTTTATGGTGCTAGGGATTGAACCTAGACCCTCATGCATGCTAGGCACATGATCTACCATTGAGCTATGACCAGGACCAAGAAAAAATTTTATTAATGAAAAACTCAAGAATTTGGAGATTGACCAGTCCGATCAACATTTTTCTTATATCTGACTCAAATTTTTGTAGTTATTTGGACTTTCTGTGGCTACAAAAATGTCTCTCTGGTTACTCTTGGAAAATTTCTTGTAGGTATTTGTTTACTAGAGCTAGGAAGTTCCTTGTAGTCCTGTGATGTGTGTTCCTTCATGGGCTAAAGGAAACTCTTGGCCCTTAGCAGAAGAAATAGCATAGCTGCAGGGATGGATCAATTCTACTGCTAGATTCTTTCCTAGTGAACATATTGATGGCTGGACACCTATGGTTATGCATATATTTATGTGCAAACCTGGTAGAAAGAGAAAGTTAAAAGGTCTTAGGATTCACCCTGTATTAGCTGTGGAGTGTCAGGAATAAAAAAAATATATATATAAACTGCCTTTGCTGTCAAAAGCTGTTATTTCTCTCTTGGAAAGGAAGTTTAAACATGAAAATTTCAAGTTCATGAATTGACATCGAAATCCCTGAAATGAAGGTCATGTTTTGAGTTTATTGAAGCTAAGTCAAATTTGCAGGTTATAATATGAACTTAGTTTCCCATTTTGCATACTTACCTCCAGGAAAAAATTCCATATTGTAGCAAAAGAGTTTCTTTTCATTTCATAAACTCTCAGCTGGAGTTCAAGAAGTTTGACGGAAAGGGTAATTTTATAAAAACTACCACAATGAATAAAATCTGGAACATTTATATCCCTGACAGCACCAACGAAGGGCCACTCTAGTTAAGTGGGCCTGTGCTCACTGGAAAGGGGCGTAAGCTCTTAGTAAAGTGCAGGAGACTTCACAGTCAAAGGAGAATCCTAAGTGTTCGGATGCACTCACCTGATAGACAAACCACTGGCAGAATGCTGGGGAGATCCATTCTCGTGCATGAATGCCGCAGTCCATAAAAATAGCCTTTCTTCTTTCATCTTTTCCAATCTAGTTAAAAATAGACTTGAGACATTATTTTGCACGGTCTCGCATATTGATCCCTTGTCATCCCATAGCTCATTCATATTCTCAGAGCAATTCTTCCCCTGTCTGTGATTGAACAGGAGCTGTGTTTGCACATACTGTTCTCAAGGAAGATGAGGGCACAGATCCTTCAGTGTCTATACATAATTCATAATCTGCTACGTTGTGTTTCTCAAAAATTTTCCTAGTGACAGAGCTACATTTGGGTTTTCTTTTTTGAAAATATAATTTATTGTTTTTCTTACTTTACTGATAACATCCTATGTTTTGAGATGTAAAGTTACTTCTATTTCTTTTAATTTTTCTGGTTTTGAGCAGAGGGGTGTTTAGCCTGACATGGAGAAGATTTTGTATGGTGCTTGGAGTGGGGAAGAGGAAGAGTAGCAGACATTTGATGGTCTGTCAGTTTTTTTTTTTTGGTTCCAGGAATCGAACTCATGACCTCACGCTTGCCAGGCAGGCGCTGTGCCACTGAGCTATATCCCAGGCTGAGGGTCTGTCATTTTGAAGACTTTGATACAGTTTTGGAGTGGTTGGAGAGATGGTGGATGGATGTGAAACGATTGGTTTCCCAGTAATTAGTGCTTTGGGGTTGTATCTTCAAGTGGACAACAATCTACAAGCAGCTGAAGGGCAATGATCAGCTCTGCGCTAGGAAGAAATCTCACATTCGTGCAGAATTGAAATGCCTTATGTACAATTCTGGGGTCCCGAGTCTATGATATTAAATTTTTTCTGCATAACATTAATTCATTATTTTCACTGAATTTTAATGGATAGAAAAGGAGTTTACACATCAGAGGCATCATAAACGTTTGTTACGAGGCTATGGAATGTGATACTTGTCTGAGTTTATCAGCTGTGCAGTCACTGACCAATCATCCTGGTTCCACTGAAAACCATCTGATATTTCTATTCATGCACTTAAGTCTACAGTAAATATTCTTTAAAAGATCAGATGTGTTGCTGTCTCAAACTTAGCTGAGTTGTAAGACAAAGTAATCCTTAAATTAATGCTTTTCAATAACAGTAAGAATCAGTGGCTCTTGAATGATTTTTACCTTGAGAATGTAGAGTGGATTATCTTCAACAGTTGACCCGATTTTGATACGAGAGACCATTTCAGGATGCTTGGACACCATTTTTTCAGTCCAAGCTACAATCTTAAGAGCAAAATCCATGTTGAGGAACTACAACAAAGGAAAACTTTAAACAACAAATGATGGAGATCACTTTTGAAAAAGAATTTACACCGTACCTTGTTCCAGTTATTGTATTTCGCATAACTGTGCCTTCCAGAGATCTCTTCTTCAACATCAAACTGTTTCTCAATCTCTTCTTGTAGATCATGTATGAGGATTCTGTTTGACAGGGCAGTGATAAAGTACGCATTTTATCATGGGAAAGGAAAACATAGTTCTCTTTTCTTTGTAAAAACGTTCTCTTCCTTCTTTATTTTTAATCAACTTTGTTCTTTTTCTTTAGTATTCTTCTCTCATAATTTCCCTTGAACATATCTTTTGGTATTTTCATTTTGATATGGTACATATCTTATGGTATCTCCTGAGTTTTCCTTTTATCTAGAGGTTCTAAGATGATGGTCTTTAGTTATAAGTGGCTAACAAGTGCTTAAAATAGGATTTGTCGGGGCTGGGGATTAGCTCAGCGGCAAAGAGCCTGCCTGGCAAGCGCAAGGTCGTGAGTTCGGTTCCCGGTACCGGAGAAAAACCAAAAAAAAAAAAAAAAAAAAAAAAAAAGGATTTGTCCAAAAGTAGAGATTGCTGAACATTTAAAGTATATCCTAAATTTTGAAGTGTTAGCATAAAAATTATGAAAAACTATCCATAAGTTTTATATAGACTATTTGTTGAAATAATGATATTTTGAATATATTTGATGAAATAAAATTTATTGCTGAAATCAATTTTACCTATTGATTTTTACCTTTTTTTTCTGGGTTTTTTTTTTCTTCCGGTACCAGGAATTGAACTCATGACCTTGCACTTGCCAGGCAGGTGCTTTGCTGCTGAGCTAAATCCCCAGCCCCCTGATTTTTACCTTTTAAAGGCTACTAGAATATTTAAAATTACACATCCAGCTTATGCTATACTGTTGTAGTATTCCCCATCCTTCTCTATGGCACATGCATGCACACACACACACATGTACATACAACACAGCCAACAATGGATATTTTTATACATCAACCTAAAAATCATCTCTTCTTATTTCATACTTTGAGAGCTTGGAGAAACTTGAGTAGTAATGATGATGATAATGATATTAGTAAGCAGGTATTTAGCACTGACCATGTGCCAAGCATTGATCTGACCTCTTTATGTATTTTAACTCTTTTCATGTTCACATGAGATTATGATCTTCATTTGAGACACTTGGCAGGGGTGTGAAAAAGAGGCAGGAAAATCATTGGGAAGCCAGTGTTGGAGGTCACCATAATGTCAAGTGAACTAACAGACACACAAACTCAGATACCTCATAGTTTCTCTTATATGAAAAACTCAGTATATATAAAGTACAAAATAAAAGACAGATACTAGGAAAAAAGAGGGAAAAAGGGATTATAATCCAGTATGGACGATGTATCTAAAAGTGTATCTTAATTTAGTACAATTATCTTACTATTAGTCTGGTTTCTATTCTGTATATATGATAATTAACTTTATAAGGTTTTATATAGTAAGTAAATAAATCTGATGCTGGAAGAATAAAAGGGAGGGGTAGAGGGAAGGGGAAAAAAGAATTGAAATGTGTTATATACAATGAATGTAATCATCATGTACTGTAAAAATATACTAATACAAGTAAAAAGAAAATTCAAAAAAGGCTTTTGTCTCCATTGTCTACCAATTTTTATCTCTTTGAGAATCATTCCACCCTACACCACATCTCCCAGAGTCCCATGGCTCTAACGATCGGTGGCCTGATGTTTGGCTGTTCTTGAATCTCCAGCTCTGTCCTCTCCCCTGAATTCCAGACAAGCATACCCAACTGCCTACTCTACATTTTCATAGACTGCTCTTGGTTAACATGAGCCAGTTACTGCTTCACAGACATTCTTTAATCTTAATCTTGCCAGGATTATTATTATCTGATAGATGAGAACATTGTTGTTCCAGAGAATGTACATGTGCACAGTTTGCATGTGATGGAGTTGGGAATTTGATTCTAAAATATTTAGGATTTGTGTTTCCAAAATGCTATCTTCATCATATAGACATGTCTATTTCATATTTTATCTGTTTTGAAATTTTCTATTCAAATCTCTTTCAATTCTTATGTAAGAACAAGCCATACTTAAATGTATAAAAATTTAATTTTGGATAGTCTGCTTATTCTTATTTTTAAATTTTTTGTTTTGTTAGAATAATTTTGGAAATCATTAGATTCATCAGAAAAACAAGGCTTTTGATAGGAATTGTACTAAATGATGTCTGAGATGAATTTTATTGTTAATATTGGACCATAATATAATTGCTTCTTTTTAATTCCTCAGTAACATTTTATATATGTGGATTGCTTATTCATATATTTTAAGATTAACCTTGTGAGTGGTTCCCCCCCCCAAAAATTTTAAATTGGTTATTATTTGTATTTTATTTTTTATTTTTATTTATTTATTTATTTATTTATTTTGTCTTTTTGAGACAGGGTCTGGCTATGCAGTTCAGGCTGGACTTGAACTCACTTTGTAGCCCAGGCTGGTCTTGAACTCACAACGATCTGCCTGCCTCAGCCTCCTGAGTGCTGGGATTAATTATTTGTATTTTAAAAAACAAACTACTTGGTCATATTTACCTAATAACCACTTTATTACCTTAAACAAACTATCTTTTTACTTTTAAGACATTTTCATACTGTCTTCAGGGCTTTACATGTGGGCACTACTCTTATTATTACTTTCTCCAATAGTTATTTAGTTCCTTCGGCACATAACATTTTGTTCTGCAAAGTTCTACTTCCTTCCAATTTTTCCTTGCTCTATTGCATGGGTTAAACTCTGAATGATGAAAAATAATAATAGTGAAGGAGCCATTCTTTTCTTTTGTTTGCTTTTCATAAGCAAACTTGCTTTTCAGAATTAAGTCTGATATTGAATGCCTGTGAGATTAATATAGCGACATCTATTTATGTGATGTGATTATTACTGTCCACTGAGGTAAAGTTGCGTTGAAGTCTATTACTAGGTTCCTTAAAGGCTAAACATTATGTTACAGACATAGAATATTTACAAATAGCCTCACAAAGAGCTGTTCTTTTTTCTTGTGCATAGAGTTCTAAAAAGCTTGATTAACCTAGAAGAAATTCATTCAATGTTGGGAAAATGGCTTGCTGAAAGTATGTTGGTATCAGTGGGTGTTAGATGACAGAAAAATAAAATAAGAATGAAATTACCTAGACGGAAGGATAAGTAAGCACAGGAGTAAGCAGTTCCTTGCTGGTGGTCCATTTACCCCAAAATACTTTTTTTTAAACTTCCATCTATTCCTTGAGGATGTTATTCTCTTATAACACAGTAAGAAATCATATTGGTATTGCTCACTCTTTATGCAAAGATATACTCTATTTTGTAGTTCAGAGCACTGTGACCCATGATGTAAATATTTCAATGAAAATGTTTTAAAGAAAACAGTATTTGAAGTTGTTTACCCAGACAGTTTCCTTATTTGGATCATCTCATTTCCCATTGATGCCATATAAATAAAAGTATTACCCTGCTGTTGGTTATGAAATAGACACACATTTTTCTTTTGATAGCAATGACACTTGAGTGCAAGACGGTGCTATTTTTAAACATTCATCCTAGTCCTTTTGTAGCCGCGATATGTACCTACGCAGGAAGCAGTAACCTGTACGCAAACGTTCTTGAGTGTGAACCCCAGTTCTGCGTCTTATTTTTTTGTGTTTTGTTTTTTGTTGGTAATGGGAATCAAACTCATGACCTTGCACTTGCCAGGCAAGCACTGTGCCACTGAGCTATATCCCCCGCCCTCGGTTCTGCATCTTAACACATAATGTGCGCAGCTTAAGCATTTCTCTGAATTTCAGTTTTCTTACTTTTCCAGTAAGAACAAATACACCACCGAGGATTGTGAGAAGGCTGAAAAGAAATATGAGGGGAGCCTGACAAGCCTTAGGCATCCAGTGAAATTCAGACTACTGAAGCTGACTTACAATACTAACTACCACTTCACAGAATTAACACACTTTAAACTCAAATTTCATGGTACACCCTTGTTTGATTCCGAAATATTCAATTTCTTAGGAAAATAAATGGTGGACATGCAGAGCTGCTTTCTACTTGCTTTCGTGCAGACTGACTGACTGACTGATCTGGGTTCTGATGCGGAACACAAATACGGTACACTCCTAATTAGAGTTTATTTAACACATGGGACCAAGCGCAGCTCATGAATATTGATTCCCATTAACAGCGCTGACAAGCGCATTATTATGCACATTACACGTAACTTGCTGTCTGCTTTACTTCTGACCTACGAATCTGGGATTTCTGAGAAAGTAAATGTGTGACAGCAAATTGAGGATCAGGTGGGGCATGTTGCATTCAAACTCAGAGGAAGCCTGAGGAGGTTTCGGAATTACATTTTGGGTGGTCGCTGCTGATATAATGAATAGCCGTAAGGGAGAACACAGCTAAGGAGAGAACACAGCTTTTGTACCACCATCTTAACAGAAAGTAGAGGAATCAGGTGAAAGAGAAGTTTTGTGATCCCAGAGTCTGATTCATAGGATCGGGCAGTATCAAGGAGTCATGGGAAGCTTGCATCTAAGAACAGGTTGGGACTTACACACATCAATTTCGGTCTTGTGAAAGCAGAAGCAGAAAGAAAATCATGTGAGCTAAAATACGACCTTTCCACAAATGCAGCTGCAGAGGACATCAGAAGGATGCCAGATTGTTGCTGATAGGGAATAGAAATTAAGCCTAAGGCTGGAAATTAAGAACTAGGGCCAGATGTTATCTTCATGAGCCCTTTCACTAACCAGAGCCAGGCTTAAGCAGATGAAACCAAATTACTTGCTACCAAATATTATTTCAGTGCTCCAAGATCTGCTTACTTTGTTAAAAAAAAATCCCCAAATGTGGGTGAAAAGATAAACAATTATCACCGGGGATTTAATAATACAAATGGCCATGTTAATTGAGACTTTCTTATGTGCCAGGCACTCTGCTAAGCTCTGTATTTACATTTTATCATGTCAATACTGTCCTGTTGACAGTGGTAATTGGGAACCATTATCACCCCCATTTTTGTGAAGGTTAAGTCTGTTTGCAAAATTGTCACAACTGTTAAATTACAGGAGATGGGATTTTGAACCTTGAAGTATCTGTCTCCAGTACCCTAGCTGGGACCATTAGACAAGAGTGTCTTCACCACAAGCATGGAATCCTGGGCAACTGTCACGAGATCTACTTCCCCAGGCTTCAGAGGTTTGCTTGTGCAAGGCTACCTAATTGTCCAGCCCTGGAAGCTTGTCACCGAGGTTAGGGAGCAGTTAAGAGGCTCAGAGAAGTAAGATGAATGAGCTTGCAATAATTTCAAGGCTACTTTTAGAGAGCAAAGGCCCGGAGAACTGCGCCATGGGCTCTAGTGTGTGTGTGCGTGAATGTGTGCATGTGTGTACTGAGGAAAGGTATTTTCAGAGAGGCAGAGTCATTGCTAGGGTGATTTTTACTGGGTTGGATTTTACTGAGGTCTACTTAATACCAGGATAGGAGCTGTTCGTAAAGTAGGGTTTTATGTTTCCACAAAATTCAACTTCACAACTCCCTATTTGGGTTATTGTGCATCAAACTACACTTACACAATCTCCCAACTGTGTTCTACCATGTGTTAGATAGCAAAGTTTAAGGCACTGATTTGTTCAGTATGAAGGGAAAGGAGCATCTGGTGTGAGGCTCCAGTTATTCTGTTCCACTATTTGTGTGTGTGTGTGTTTGCAGTGGGTGTTATGTGTGTGGTGTTTGCATATGTGTGTGCTCATATCAGTGCATGTATAAGTGGCCTTTCCTCTACCTGAATTAATAAGTAAAGGAACCAGTCATTGAGGGATTTTATGGTCCCAATTTCCAGGAAATACCCCATGAAATAGCTTCCATTGTATCACAATTTTACAGATGAGGTAAATGAGGTGGGGAGAAGATAAATAAATCGTCAGTGTGGAATACCCGTGGTTTTAATGCTACTAGATACAGACAGCTTTGCTTCAGAATTCGCTTCCTGACCTACCATACTCCTGTTTCCTGCCATGACCAGTAGGTCTTCAATATCCGTAGGAGGCCTCACCTACATGTTATACTCTTGGGGAAATATGTAAAAATGCAGAGCAGAAGGAAAATAAATGGATGACACATTAGATGAGTCATTAGAATGATTATTTGATTGAGACACTTATTTGATAAGACTGTGTATGTACTTGGAATATGAATGTGTATTTGGCTGAACAAGGCAATCAGACATTGATCTGAGTGTTGATTATCATGGTGGCAGTTTGGTATGTACCTGTTTGGTATTCCCCACTATAATTTTAGGTGAATCTTAATAAGATTTTACCTAATAATACTATATGTATTTTATTATTATATTAATATTTGTTTTCTGATTTCCCTTTTATTAGTAACTCTGTTTTCTAATTTTAATTTCTAACCCAGGAAAGGGCCATATTAAGGACTATCTAAATGTAAAAATATTCAGTAAAATCACTTGAGTTTTGAACTGCCAACTCTAAATGTGGCATCTGTCCCCCAAGTCTTAGTCCAATTGGTTTGTTGTGGTTTAGTCCAGATGTGGTTTCCCTTTCAACATTTGTTCACCAGTTTGTGTGTATTATTTGTTTCTTGGACTTGGCCTTTTGTGATTTTTGTAAAAGTGTATGTAAAAAGGAAGTAGAGATGCTACTTTAAAATCAACTATGGCTTAGTAATTTCATTTTTGGAAAATTAAAAAAAAAATAACACGCAGATGTTTCCAACTAAATAGTGTTTATATGCATTGTCTAATGAAGGGTGTCTAAGTAAATCATTGTGTCAAACCAGCATCTTAATATGGTTTTATTCAGCCTGGTGCTTGGGCTCAAACAGATGTTTCTGTTCTTAGAACCCTCTTCTGTTACTGACTGACACCAAGTAACACATATAATTAATATGCAAATAAAATTATCTATATAATTAGTGCTTGGAGACAAGATTTTAAATAGTTCTTGTCTGCACAGATCACTTTACATATTTATATTTTTGAGGAAGGTAACTATCTAATTATGTGGCTTTCCCACAACTGTGGCTAATTTGGGCCAATTTCCAGAAATCATGTCTTAATTAGATAAAACTAATTTTTAGAGGTAGTTTAACACTTTGCTTCTTGATGTAGTTAGCAGGAAGCTATCTCGGTCCACGAAAAAGTGCAAAAAGAAAAACCCCATGAGGGTGTAGGCTAGATCTCTACTTGGGTCAGAATCAGTTCAGGCCAGCAGAGGCTTAGAGGCATGAAGAGGAAAAGGGTATATGTGAGTGATTTGATAAAACAGAAGATGCCAGACACCTACCTGGGTACTGTCCAGTTATTTACCTCATTATCCACCATCGTATCAAGCAATTAGTCTTTTGTCTGCATTATGACAATGCAAGGAAAACAAGACTCTGATCTTTTACCTTGCTGTTCAAGCCAAATTGTATATAGGGTGGAAGGATAATTTCTTTCAGATGAAAAAAATCAAGATGGTATCTGAACCCACTGTAAACATATTCTAGAATGTACTATAAGTTTCTGCAATCTTGGAGGCATATCTATGGTGTGTCTGCTTCCAATTTGGGTGCAACTTATAAAAACATAAAAGTCAATATGTTAAAGGGAAATGGTTCATGCTGGTATAGATTAATTTTGAGCTACATTTACCCAATTTGTTAATTTCTACATTTATTTCACCTTCCTCTTGGACCAATAGCAAAAGCCAAAACGGTGATCAATAATCATCCCAAATAATAGCCTGCTACATTTTAAACACAAAACATTTCTTGTTTACTTGTCTTATGTATATCTTTTCTTAATTTATATTTATTTGCGGCATTGTACTATATCATAAATACAATCAAGTCATGAGTAGCAGTCAGTCCTACTCTGTAATATGATTACAGATGTCAGTAGGATCTTTCTTAGTCAGTAGAGGCCTTTTGAATTAACTCTTCAATGCCCAGTGACCCATGAAATGTGTTCTTGTTTCAGGAATTTTACTATGTAACAAAAATGAATTTCATGCAAAAATTCAAAAAATTTCAGTCTTTGGCATAAGTGGTTTAGAGCAATAACTTAGGTGAAGGAGGCATGAAGTAGCGAATTAAAAAGGAAAGATCTAGTGCTTAGTTTTGTTTCGACAGTAAGTGTCTCAATAAAGGAAAGCCTGGAATGACAAGGCCTGGGGAAGTTGCAACCGGACCTTTCAGTATAGCAAACGGCTGACTGACTGTGTGACAGTACAGTTTAAAGACACACGTTGTTTTCCAGGTTTTGCATTGATTTGTGATATTCATTGCTAAGGTCTTTTTTGATTCATGACTTCAGGGACCAGATTGTATACGACCGATGGTTGGTCGTATACAATAAACTCTAATTTTTTAAAAAAAGTTCTCTGTAGGACTACAACAATTCATTTCTGCATCTTTGTCGCATTGTGATTTTTCTCTTCTTTAAGTCTTGTTCTACTGTTTTGCTATTGTTTACTCTGAGGAAAAATTTCTTTCATGCAGAATTCTGTATTTAGTACCTATTTTACATTACAACATCTCTGAATTACAGAGGTGGGCTTTTTTTTTTTTTTTAATCTCCTTTGATATGTCAGGAGAATTCAAATACAAGAACACGGTGTGGGTCAGCATCCTTAGTTCATCAGCTCCAGGCCGATTGCTTCTCAGTGGTGCAACTGTATGGCTAATCCTTCCGCGTCTACTCATAAGGGATCTGTGCTTATGAGGAGCTGGTTTTGGAGACAGCAGATGTAGGTAATTGTCATTTTTGCAGATCAGAGCAAGCGCAAGATGGAAGGTGAACTGCCTATGATCTTATCACCTCTACGAACATGCTTCAGGAGTCTGCTTGGACTAAAGTATGAACGTTACCTTGCACTCCGTGCTTCAGTTTTTGTGGGGCTCAGTTTAAAAATAGTTTTACTATAGTACCTCAACATCTCCAGGCTCTCAAAATGTCGAGCATCTAACACATATAAATATTCCAAAAGGACTTACTCGTAGTGCATTGTATTTTGATCCAAGGCAGACCGTAGAGACTGGGATTCTTTCTCACTAACTCGGAAATCCACCGTCATGTTAGCGGCTACATGGTGTATGGCATCTGGATACCAGAAGTCAAGCTGCAGAGATGAGTTCACTGTTAGCCATAGTTATTTATGTGATTACCAGCACACATGTATTAAGAAATGGCCATGTGCTATACCCCACGAAGGACTTTGGGATTTGGTGTGACTAAGGTATGGGCCCTTCTCTTAACAAAATGAGTTTTTTTTTGCACAAGCATCTAAGAACTGTTGAATACTAAGAAGTGAGAAAGGAAATATTTGTATGGATTATTGTTTCAGGACATTGTATCTATAAATGTGAAAAGGATGGGTGGCTCTTTTGGTTAACCCCTTTGCTTCTCCTATTTTGGAGTTTAATAGGATTATTCATACTTCATATAGCCATAGCATCTGGTTCAAATCAGGCAGATTAAATATCTGCTTCCTCCTCTATCAGTTCTCAAAAACAGATATCCGTGTAAATTCTGGAATTCCTGGAAGGTTCGCATACAACAAGAAGGCCCAGTCTCCCAGCTCTGCCACTTTTTAAAGCAATATATCCTTGGACAAGTTACTAAAACTCTGAGTTCCAGTTCTCTCTCCTGAAAAAATGGGGCTCACAGGACCCCCTGGAGCGTGTATTGAGGATTGTGAAGTGAGTGAAAGGTGTAAGGTCTGGGACATGCGGGGATTTAACAAGTGCTGATTTCCTTCTCTCTATATTCCCCTAGCTTAGATTTTCAGAAATTTAGTGAATGGGCCTGGAAGAATAGTCCTCAGGTTAAAATTCTTGTGGTTGTTCAAAATCATACTAATTTGAGAAAACCAACCAAGTGTGGGGTTCCAGTCTGTGAGATATAAAGTAATGCTCGATTTCTGTCCATCACACGGAGACTGTGGGCTTGTCTGTATCTGTTCAGCTGCCTCTTAGTTGGATCTCACTGTAACTCTAGGTGAATCCATTATGGGATAGCATGAAGCTTCCATGAAACAGCCAGTATGTCTATTTACTTAGATCAAAAAATTACAGCATGGGTTGGACACCAGAGAGAGGCAGTGTGATTTACAGGTGATTTAGGTAGGCCATGATATCACAATAGCAATTTCTCTAGCAAGGTAGGTAACATGAAGTAAGATTCTAAAGCTTGGTGAACTTTTATGAGCATTTATTGAACACCAGGCATAGCACTGTGTATCACAGTTAAAGAATCTAATAAGGAAGTGATGGAAAGAATAAGCTTGGTGTGAGATGGAGCTACATATCCATATTTCCAACGTGTTAACCATTACCGGGGAAGGAACAGAGCGTCCCAAGTAAGCAAGGAACAAGCCAACTTGGCTCATGAGAGTCAGTGCACAGAGAAGAATTCTTGCAGGAGCTGCTTCTTGCAAAATAAGTAAGACTTAGCCAGGTGAAAGGAGAAACACATTCTTTATGAGCAAAAGGACCCAGGATGGGTGATATTCAGATGTCTATGGAGCTTAAAGACCAAAATGATAGAGGAGCAAGAGAATAAAAAGCATGGCAGTTTGGCAGATCACAGAAAACTTTGAAGAGCAACAGAAAATACAGAAAATGCTTCTACAGCAGTTATCATGGCCAGGTCAGCTTCTGAGAGCTATGCAAAGCCTACGTAGTCTATAAGGACGTTGGAGAGTAGTGTGATAATTAGCTACATTTCACAGAAGAAGAACTGAGAACTTGTGAGGGTCAGTGACTTGCCTACCACCACAGAGCTTAGGTGCAGCTGGGAGCTGAACTTCAGCAGATGGCTCTGAAGAACATGTTTCTCCATACAAGGCTGCCTTGAAGTGGAGAAATGTGACTCTCAAATTTTAGAGAAACAATTAGGTTGCAGTGCAGATAGTAGTAGAACCCTGAAAGCTAATGAAGGTTCTATTGAGATTGTTCCAGGAAAAGGCAGGAAGAACACGGACAGTGACAGCGGAGAGGAAAACGTGGTTGCAGGAAATATTTGGGAATTAGAATAAGCAGAACTTTTGACTGTTTTGGTGCAGAGATAATAACATACAACTAGAATTAATACCAGCTTTGTGTATTTAAATCTGATACATGATCTTGATTTACATCTCTGTAAATCTAAGTTAACTTACATCTTCAAACGTTAGTTCCTCTGTCTTAAATGGGTTAGTCTATGCCCACGACATTGCAAAGCTGTTGGAAAATCTGAAATAACCTAGGGAAGATGGCAGGCACAATAAGCTTTGTATACAGGAGGAGCTGCAGAAATGATAAAGTGGTTATTTTGGCCTGCTGGATTTTAAAGGACTGATTTAACTCCAAGAGTCTGCTTTTAAAGTATACCTGCTCTTGGAGAGGGTCACCTTGCTATCAGCCAGTACTTTGACATTAGCAGTTTGCACTGTATCAGAAAGTGTGTCACCAAAAGAGATCAGAATGGGAGTGGGGTGAGGAGGGAGAAGAGGACCTGGTAAAGGTGCCAAGCACACCCCATTATTTTACAGTTTTACCTAGAAAAGGCCGTTACTTGCAAAGCTTTGTGGAGGAAAAACAAATGGTATTCTACGAAAGCAAAACAAAACATGAAGTATTGGCCACTGGCTGAATTATCCAAGTAGCTCTGGCAATTTTCCCTTATGTTTGGTAGTCTTTGGTCGCCTTGTGGGCATTAAAAATAAAATAAAAAGAAGCAGCTTTTAGAGACCAGAAGGAGCAGATAAAATATCCCCAAATGCTTTACCTCATGGGTTTTGGCCAAATCCTTTATGACCTTTGCTTGTTTTTCATCGTGGGGCTTCACACGGAACACCTTCTCCCTTCAAGGAGGCAAACGACAAAAATGTGAACTGTAAAGAAGATTTCTTCACCCTCTTCTTACCCAGAGACTGGAACAGTGGGTAGTGAGATTTACCCGTCAAAGCGGACAGGAGCAATTCCAAGGGCAGTAGCAATCAAACTCAAGATCAACATGAACCTCATGGCTCTTCTTTGCTTGATGTGAGACCCTCTGCAAGTTTTATGCTGCAGCCTTTATCTGGAGGAGCAGCTGATTTCCTCTTAGGGCTTCCTGGCATGAACTGCCCTCCCTCCCCGTGCTTTTTCATTTGGGGAGAAAAGGGAGAACACTTACCCCAAACACCCAGGCTACTTTACCTTTTATACTAGAGAGTGCCCATTTTACAGAAAGAGGGAAGAGGCAAATTAATCTAGCAAGTACATTGTCCAAGGTAATGCAGGTTATATGTTCATAGAGCTGGGACGGGAACCCAGGTCTGCTTGTTCAAAAATACTATTGTTTCACCACGCTTCTGTTGAAGGAAGGAGGATATTGGTTTTATATTTGCACTTTCAACCTGTGATGAATTTGGGTACTTGGCTACAGAATCTTTGTGGTTTGTCCTCAGGAACATAAAACATATTTGAAGCTTGACTCTAATTTGTTAAGTTAAAAACATCTAAATTTCAAGATATTTCGAACAACCTAAAAATGTAAGTACTATGGCAAATGTTGATGTGTTCACTATCTAGATTTAAAGATGATAAAACTTTTGCTGTGTTTGTTCTCACTTTATTTTATTCTTTATTAGTACATGTGTATGATGCATAATAAATATTCATTAAGGGGACTTGGTATGTACACATATTGCAATTTGATCCTTTTTTACTTCCCTTTCTTCTGTTCCTCTATCTCCCCTTATCCCGGGATCCCCTTTCCATCTCCTCCACAGACAGCTTTCTGTTTCCCATTGTCTGCTTTTTATTTTGCTCTGTCTCAACTCTTCTCCCCTTCTCTCTTTCCTATCGTCAGAGACAAGCCCTATTTCTAAAACAGGTTGAGAACAACTTGAAGACAAGAAAGCATGGATGCTGTAATGTTTACTTATGGGGCGTTGTTTTCCAATCTGGGTGCTGTGCATGCCAGAAGATGACTTTTGAAAACTGAATTAATGAAAGACATTGGCTTGCTATGTAAAAAAATATATGGAGACGTCTTTAGCCTTGAGCACAACTCAGTTAGTTATGGAGTGTTTGGGAGAATAACACCATGACCTAGAACCATAGATAATAGAGTGAAATGAAATTTTAAAATCAGATGACTTGGAATTTCCTCCTAAAAAATTTGTCCTCACATTGGCCACTGTATAGATGGGTGATGTGCAAAACTTCTTGGAGTTGTGGTTGTATGTTTTCTTTACCAAACTAACATTGCCGGGTGGATTTCCTGCTACATGTACAGCAACCGAAATTCCACTCTTGGTCATCTGGTGGATGTGTTATATAATTTATAATCTCCTGAGAGTATCCCTTTGCCTCAACCCTGAAGATGTGGAAGAGGAGAGATCCATAAGCACCTTCGTGTTCTTGGTATGGGTCTCATCAGCAGTGGAAACTCCCAACACAAAGGCTTACTCTATCCTTTTTGACTAAAGGTGCTCTGACCTTTAGTCAGTGAAAAAGAACGAGCTTAAAAAAGAAGGATTTAGGAAAAGATAATCTCAGGGGGCTCCCAAGCACCAGTGATATCATTTTGAGCAGGCTGCCTTGTTGCTCTGAGCCTTGGGTTCCTTGTCTGTGCCATGGGGATGCCGATGTGACGCTCCCAGCTGGCTGTGAAGGCTGGCTGGGATAGCACTCGTTGTACGGAGGGAGCTAACAATCTGAGCACACCCTCTAGACAGTTGTCAGGTTACATAAGCAGAGACCCAGAGTCGGCCCCTGACAGATTGTGGAACTGCTGCGAATCAGCAGATATCAGGTGTTAGATTAAAGTGGTGTCTGTGACTTTGAAGGATGAAGCCTCTCTCTTTATTTTAAAAATATTTATTAAGTTTATCGGTACAATTTAGATATACATAATGATCGCATTCCTCATAGGGAACGTGTACCTGTACATGGTATGTCTTTGTTCCTCTTTTATTTCTTCCATTCTCTTCTACTCCTTTCAATCCCTCTTTATTTACAAAGCTTTGTTTCTATTTGATCCTTTCTTCCCTCATTTTTTTCTTTTCCCTTCTTTTCTTCCCACACCCATTCCCGTTTACTTTTGCACAATTTCTTCCTATTTCACAATATCTGTTATATGTTTTGGTTCTTATTTACACTTTCAGTTTCTCACACCAAAAAACAATCCAGTATTTACACAGGTATGGTCTCAAGGTGCATCCATTTAGCTATGAATGTCTCAAGTTTATCCAGCTTGATGGCTGAGTAATACTCTATTGTATAAAAAAGCCACATTTTTTTGTTTATTCATTGGTTGATGGGCATTTGGATTTTCCTCCAGATTTAGCTATTACAAGCTGTGCCACTACAAACATAGGTATGCAAATATAGCTGTGGTATAATGCTTTTAATTCTTTCAGGAAGATACTAAGAAGGGGAATAGCTGGGTTGACTGAAACCTCTAGTCCTAGTTTTTGAAGAATCTCCACACTGATTTCCACAGTGGTTGCACCAGTCTACACTCGCACCAGCAGTGGAGAAGGGTTCCTTTTTCCCCACAGCCCCGTGAGCATTTGTTATTGGTGGATTTCTTCATGATAGCCATTCTTTCTGGGGTGAGATGGAATCTCAGCATTGTTTTAATTTGCCTCTCTCAAATGTTCAATGATGTTGAACATTTTTACATGTATTTATTTGCCTTTTGTACTTCTGAGAAGTGTCTATTCATTTCAGCTGATGGACTGGGTTTTTAAGTTTGGGGAGTATGATTTTCTTCAGTTCTTTATATGTTCCAGATATTAGTCCTTTGTCTGAACAACTGGCTAAGGTTTTTTCCCCCACTTTGTGTGTTGTCTTTTCATTCTGTTGTTGGTTTCTTTTGCTGTACAAAAGCTTTTAAATGAGATCCTAGCTGCTGATTCTTTGTAGTATTTCCTGGGCCATTGGGGGGGGTGCTTGTTCATGAAGTCTTTGTCTCCACCTATGTTTTTAAGAGCTCTACCTGTTTGCTTTTCCAGCAGATTTAATGTTTCTGTTTTTCTCTATTTATTTTAATTAAGAGTAGTGACAAACTTTTTGGTACAACTTTGCTTTTTGAAGGTTTATTTTCAGATTCAAAAATTAAAGCTTGCATTGAATATAATTTTATAAAATAAGAGGTATTGGGAGAAGAAAAATTGAAATCCTTTAGTCTTAACATTGTAATATCTGGAAACATTTTTTTTTTTTTTTTTTAATCGGGAATTGAACTCAGGACCTTGCGCTTGACAGGCAGGTGCTTGTACCACTGAGCCATATCCCTGGCCCTGGAAACATTTCTTGTGTGATTGGTTTTAAAGCTGTATAGAGGAGACTTCAGTGTCTGACTTTTTTAAGTCAGATAAGAAAGACACCTCTATTTTATTTGGGTATATAAATAAGTTTTGAGGGTCCTGATATCTTTCTGGATAAGATTATGATGATAATAAAAGTACATCTTTGGATTAATAGTACCTATTGCATATTGATAGTTCTGTTTCTGCATAGGATATAGTCACATGATTCATTCTTCCAATGCTTTCAGCCTCTAAGGAAAAGTACAATAGATAGATTTCAAGAATGTTCTGGAGCATTTTCTCAGTGTATGCTATTCTTGGCAGCCGTAGTTTACTCTAGCTTTTTATTATTGCATCAAGGTTTAGAAAAGTCCTTGGCATATGTAAGGAGCAGGATAAATAGTTGCTTTCACCATATTACCTTAGGATGGACTGTGTAAGACTGTGATGTTTTACAGGTTAAACTAATCTCTTTAAAGAACAATTTAAAGTGAATTGCTTCACACAGCAATAATTTTCCGTCTTTCTGGAGCTTTGCACTCTTAGGATTTTTGTAGTAGTGGCTATCTATGTTTCTTTGTATTTTCAAGCATATGGAAGTGTCCTAGAAAATGGAAGTGAAAAGTTGTCTTACGATTTAATAAGACAACTTATTTCATGCAAGTGTGCATCTTCAAATGTTAACCCAGTAAATTGCTGGAATACCTCTAGATGACTCTCATCACATGGATGTTGGAAAAAATTTGGTCTTTAATTGTAGACCTTATATTCTTAACATTGAAACAAAACTATCCTGTCAGGGCTGGGGATATAGCTCAGTGGCATAAGCACCTGCCTGGTAAGTACAAGGTCCTGAGTTTGATTCTTGGTACAAAAAAACCTATCCTGTCAATGCTACAGAGAAATCGGTCTCCATTAAGCAAAGGTGGACCTTCCAGAGCAGTGTGTGATGCATGGTTCAGGATGAGTAGGAGGGGAGCAACTTTTATGGCTCTTTCTATGTTCTAGAGATTATATCTTTGACCAGTTCAGATAAGTCAGCTTCCTGATGTCAGCTTCCTGATAAGTCAGCTTGCAAAAAGCAAACAAACATGTAAGATTCATTTCTAGACACACAGGAATTCCATAAATGAAACTGGGAAATCACTCTTGCTGTTTCCTAGAAAGACTTAAGTGGCCATTTTTGCGCCGTTGGTTACCTGGATATCTGCGGCTGTGAGGAGGGCTCAGCTCAGAGGCTGTGCAGGGCTCTCAGAGTGGGAGTGGGCAGAGGTGGAAGAAGATACTCTTCACAGCTTGGGGTTCTTGAGTGGGCAAGGTTGGTGGGGACTTTCAGTAGTCTGGTCAGCAGGGAGGGAAAGTGCCAGATTCTAATGCATTGGGAGGGACTCAGGTAGATTCCTTCTCTGTTTCTCTTTTCATCTCTCTCTCTCTCTCTCTCTCTCTCTCTCTCTCTCTCTCTCTCTCTCTCCCTCTCCCTTTTTGAGACAGGGTCTGTCTATGTAGTCCATGTTGGCCTTGAACTCATATAGCCCAGGCTGGACTCAAACTTGCTAGCGATCCTCCTGCCTCAGCCTCCCTAGTGTTGGATTTACAGGCATTACCACTATGTTGGGCTCTTTCTATTTCTCTTGCTGTAGCTCGAACATGTGGAATTTTATCCAGCTAGCTGCTGTTAACCTTTGGTAGGCAGAAGTTAGAGTAAAAATATCTCAGGTATAGTTAGTTACAATTCATAACACGAATATAACTGAAATACAGGAAGGAAAAGGCAATTTGGCTAAATTAATACTATTTTTATTATTCTCAGTACTGCTAAAATTTATGAAAACAATTTGCACTTAAACATCTCTCTATTTAAATGATATATTACTAAATTATTTGAAGGAGATTGACAAATGGTAGCAGCCACACTACTACCACCTAGTGGACAATTAATGCAATTAATCATTTCGGCTTGACAGCTTCTAAACTAGACTTCAAATGATTCTTTTTTGATAGCACAGAGTTATGAATATTTTAGCATACTATATTCCATATGGAATCTTATGTTCCTTGGATGCACATAGGCAATAATGTATTAAAATTTTTTTTCTGATTTCAGGAGATGCCCCCAGAGTTTCAACTATATAGGTCTTATTTTAAAAATTAAACTTGGCACAAGGCTTTGCAACCTTAGCGCAGTCAGTTCTGATTCTGGAAAATATCAAGTCATGTGTGATAGAAAGGTCAAGGAGTGATATTTTCCTTTTTTGCTGGTGCAACTGGTCCAGCCAGGGGCCCTGGCAGTCTCTTGTCTCACTTTAATCTGTTTCCCACACCTTCATATGTGAAAAAGCCCCTGGGGACCATTTACAACCTGACATCTTCAGCGGCTTTCTGTTGTTTTTAGAACCAAGTGCCAAGTCCTGAACACAGCCTGAGCTCTCCCCAGTATGATCCCCAGGGTCCTGCCGGGTGTACACCTACTCCTCCTAGGACAACCCGGTGTCTCAGGCATCCCAGAAGGGCTCCCACTTTGTCCAGAGACAGCCTCCCTCCCACAGCAGGAAGCAACTTCTCGAATGTTCTTTGTAGCCCATCTAGCATTTACTTGTTTCTTGTAAATAGTATAACTTATGTCTAAGTAATTACTTTGCTAATTCTTTAGTTAACATCTGTCTTTTCTAATGGTCCATATACCCAATAAGGGCGGAAGTGTTATCTTCAGTTTTCACTGTGCTGTCAATTGTTTAGCCAAATTCTTGGCATGTAGGAGATAGCACATAATATAACAAGAGTTGGGCTTTAACAAAAGCTGAAACAAGAGCATCTTCTCATCTATACCATTGCGATCTGCATTTCCCTTTGTATTTCCTCCTGCTCACGAGACTCCCATTGCAACCTGCACACTTGGCAGGTGCTGGTCAAGCCCCCACGGATTTCAGTTCTGCTAGGACTGACCACATCACCATCCGTGCACAGCTTGTTTGCTCACTTGCTTACAGTTCTTTCCCCAAAGTAGACAACCTGTCCCGGTTTGCAATGATCATGATTCACTTTTATTGTAATTCATTTTAAAAGATCGAAGCTTGTAGGAAAGACTAGGATCTGAAAAACCTGCAATCAAAGAAAAATAAGGATTCAAGACACACAAGAAATGAACAGCGAGTCTTCTGAAAGCAAGCTCTCAGCATTCTCCACTAGTACAGATGTCCCAGGACATAGCTGGCGATGTGTTTGACTGCGAGCAGGGTCTCCTCACAGGTTGCGCGAATTTGGGACTCAGGAAGTAGGAAGCCATATCTGCCTGTATCCCGGAGTTCAAAGGTGAAGGAGTATTTGATGCCTTGGTCATAAGCCCAGTCATCAGAGCCCCCAGCAGCAAGATCTGAAAGGAGCAAGTAGTAGAAAAAAAAAAATCTTTAAGGAAGGAAGTTAAAAAAAGTGTCACCTTTCTTTCATTTCACTGTGCAAAATCTGAACAGGCCAATTTTCTAGTAAACCTGATCATAAATGATTTGGGGACTGTTTTAAAATTTAGTTCCATCTTACCTACAGATGTGCTTGATGTGATCGCTATGTTTAATACCCCAGAAATAATGTAGTCTGCAATAGAAACTTTTCAGTGTGCTTATGTACAATGGTAAATTTAGGTATATATGTAGTATATATCAAAGTAACATATCAAACTATCCGCTATACAGCTTAACTTACTATTGTATATACACACACACTGAAAATTTATTTATGAATGTGTGTCTCCTCTCAGGAAAATAATGAAAGCTGTGTGATGAGGGGTAAGAGGGCCGGACCCTGAACCCTGCAGGAAGTGTGCTGAATCTGAACACTAAAATTCGGGCAACTTCAGGGCAGAGCTGGGCCTTCATTCTTTTTTATCTTCAGTGTGGAGCATAGGGCCTGGCAAAAAGCATTCACTTAGTTACTAATTCTTTCAATAGAAACCATCTTGTCACTAACGCATAACGTATGTATTCATTTATTCATTGCTTATCCATTTATCTATTTATTCACCCACCAACTGTCGGGCCCCCACTAAACTGCAGGCCGTGTGTTCAGCTCTGTCTCTTGAGGGCTTATAGTGTAATGGAGAAAAAGCACCTAATTTAATGGGGCTGAATAAACATACATGAAGTTCACATTATATAAGTGAGTTGCTTCTGCAGGAACCTGCTTAAGAAGAAAGTACACCACCTCTTATTTAGAGCAGCTTTTAAAAAAGAATAGAGAAAGCTACTTTTTTTGTTTGTTTTTTTCCGGTACTGGGAATCGAACTCACGAAGTTGCGCGCGCCAGGCAGGCACTGTGCCCCTGAGCTAAATCCCCAGCCCCGAGAAAGCTATTTTCTATAAAGCTTAAAAAAAATCCAACAACTCAGGATTAAAGACTCCCTAAACGCACTGAAGGACTCTTGGTGACAGGACTGGGTCTTTTTTCTTGTGTGTATTTCTATTTCTTTTAGACCTCAGGGAAAAAGAAATCATTTGAAGACCAAGGAAAACAGAAATTGAAAATGGGACCTGTGGTCCGTGCCTTTGTGGAGAAATCCAAATTCTGCTCCATTCGTGGCCCTGCGGTCCAGCCCCTAACCCTCTCACCATGGGTTTCTCCCACCCTGGAGCACATGCTGAGGGGCTGGTCAGACGGCTGACGTAAACTCCTAGAAGGTGGCTTGTGCCTCAAAGAGGCCTCCTACCTGAAGTCTGTTTAGCTGAGAAAATGCTCTCTCAGATGCTTTGTTTCAGCAATGGGCCTCCAATAAGCTGCTCCAATAAGCTCCAATAAGCTCATCCCTTGGAACTTACTCCTCACACTGCAGGGTGGGTGGGTTGGTCCTGTTTGTTCCTTGAGCATCTTAATATCACAGCGTTTAGCAGCTGTGACACTTTTCTTGTTTCCAGACTGTGGGTTCTTTGAAGACCGTTCTGCTCTCCCTCCTACTTCGTCTCTACTGCTTCTCTTCTCCCCACCCTCCTTCCCTTTTTCTCTTAGCAGCCACTGAGGGTCTGCCACACAATAGACGTTCAGTGCATGTACACAGAGAGCAAATGTCTCTGGGGTTGAAAAGAAAATTTTCCTTTCTCGTTTTGAACAGAGAAACGATCACATATTTCATAAAAGCACCAGTGTGAGGCAAAAGCCATATGCTCCAACCAATTAGAAAAGAAAGGTGCTAAGAACCACTTGGGAGCTTTGTAAGCACAAGGTTCCTTTGCACAGTCCTGAAGCCAAGACTCACAGATTGTTGAGGCTCCTGGGCCGTATGTGTACTTGGTACCGTACAGGGAGGCAAGTTTGTTCACAGCAGCTTTAGCCAGGGCATTCTGCAAAAGAATCCACAGTAAAAAGGTAAATAAATACATAGAGACACATAGGGCCAAACACCACGCATCCTATACCTTCATTTCAAGACATTGCAGGTGTTTATTTCACATCTGAGTTAGCATTTTATTCTAACGCACTGCCCATTCTAATTTTTCTAGCTACCTTAGTCATACGATACAAGTAATTCTTGCTAAAGAATGTATTCTGTGAAGCCCTCTGCAAGTAGTCTGATTTCTGTCTTGTCTCTGGACCTTGTAGAAGAGAAATGGAAGTCAAGGAAATCTATATGGTTATCCTCAGAGTTTGGCTTACACACACACACACACACACACACACCCAAGCAAAACAAACACCAGCTGGCAAGGTAGTAGGTATAAGGCCAGTCCTGAGTCATGACAGGATTGAGGGAAGTGGAGCAAGTGCATTAGAAGCTACACGTATGCAGGGTGGGGAGTCAGTCCAACATTCTGCGCCAGCCTGGAAATGTGTAGGAACTGGCAGTTCCAAGAGTGAGTAGTAGTTCCAGCTTAGAAGATTTTTTAAAATGAAAAATTAGAGAACATTTACTCTATTTCAAAATGCTGCGCATTTGAATTCCAGGAGAATAAAAACGTAGTAAGTTTTAACATATGCATATTCTTTCTTCTTAGAAGCAGCATCGCCTTCTCCTAAGAATCTCGCCCCAGGACCTTGCACGCGACTCCTCCAGGAGATGGGCTCTCTGCACACAGAAATAACTTCACTGACATTCTTTTCTACTGGTTTAAATAAACACTTAAGAAGCAAGGCCTGACTCAGCTTTCCAGGGGACCCAGAAGATTTGAAAATTGCTTGTTTACTACAGCAGAAGTAGCTGTAATTCATTCTAGTTATGAAACTTGCTATATGTCATATTTTGGCATTATAGTTATTTCTTGTACATATGTTTGGAAGGCTGTGAGGCTGGTGATGAAATCAGAGTAATCTGAGTTTTACAAAGTGGAAACTTCTTTTACCCCTTATTTTAATATTAAAACCAGGTTAGTAGAGTCTTATGTCAAACTGGTGAAGTAGCACTTTAAGACTTCAAAGATTCCAGTTCCTAAGGTCTTAATGCTCCATCAGTCAGGCGGAACATTAGAAAATCTAAAACGAGTTATACAATTTAAGTCATGATTTTCTGTTTTGGCCCACCGAAATGATGCAGCTAGCATCCTGGAACTAACTTCTCATGGTCAGAGTTTTGTATCAAGAATCTGAACATTTTAAGGTTTTGCTCCTCAATGTCTGAGATGGTAAGCTAAGACACGCTTTACTTTTGTGGACTACAGATATCGCTCTTGTTTTACCTTATTGTAACCAAGACAGGAGTCTTGGATTCTTTTCCAGTCTTTGCTAGAAACCCTATTATTGATTGAAATGAGACCAATCTACAAGTTTGTATAATGCTTGGAAAGATGCAAAACCATCTTTTAAGCGATGTGAAGCAGGGTGAGGCAACAGCTTTTTTGGTAGATGAACGGCATTTTTTGCCCTTACAATTTCTTGCATTTGTCAAAGGAAATTTCTGGTCGGTTATTTTTCTGTATGACAGAATCTGTGTTCCTCAAGAACTCCTATTCCTTCCCCAGATCTCTTCCTCAGATTTTACTTGTCTTTGTTTAAACACAGAAATATTACTCTTAGCTAGTAGAAATACAATTCTTCAGGATTGCTTCCAAATGTGAACAGCTCCAAATGTGAAACGTTCCAAAGGCAAAAAGCTATAAAGTTATGTGGAAGATTTACTAGTCAGTGTCAGTGTCTATTAAACCTGAGCCTCCGTTGTTCTTCAAGTCTGTCAACATATTTATTGCTGTTATGTAATAATTAAATTTTTAGTCCAAACCGAAGGGACCTGCTCGTGACATGTTATCTCTTTTGGCTTATCAATTTATCAGTGTGGTCATGACTACCATGAGACTACACACAAAAAATTCCGTTGGTTTTTCCTCAGAACCATGCTCTGGGTGCCGGAAGTGACCTCAAGTGCTTTTGAAGCCCTCAGATCTATCTATCTTCTGCAAACAGTTGCTCTGTCAAAGCTTGATGGTATTTTTTAAAGGCTGTAGTTTTATTCCTGTCACTGACACACACTGAAGGAACATTTAGTTTGTTCCTCACCCTCTGCTTCTTTCTCCTCCACTCTCATCTTGGTAGCAACCCATTGTCCATCTTCTGAGGGGCAGCTCACTGCCTCGTCTTCCATGGCTCTATCACCTGGTATGGATGTGGCGTTCTCCTCTCCCAGTAAAAGCAGCCTTCTCTCAAGCCACGCCCCTCAGGCATTCTTATATTCCATCCAAGTTGGATTTTCTTAAAGTCCTTCCCTGCACACCCATCCCTCTTCCCCCTACCTCCATTGCTTTGGGAACTCCTCTTTTTTCTCTAGAATCATCTTTCCCTTTCTGCTTACATGGAAGATTTCTATTAGTATTTCAAATTCATTTATAGCACTGTCCTCTTTGTGACTCTGTCCCTAACTCTCTTTAAAGGCATAGACTTGCTTCCTTTGGGGGTGATCACGCTCTGTGTGTTGTAAGCAGTGGTTTGTGCATTCTGCTTTCCCTAAGGGAGCTCCTTGTGGGAAGGGATTCTTGGCTACTCATTTTGTATCTGCAGCAGATGGCTCAGCATCTCGCAGTGGTTGGTTGACCGAGCTCTATTCTGGCTCTTTGGGGCATTACAAATATGGGCAAGATTGGATGAGGGTGTAGCGTGCTGAGCACTGCAAATGCTGAGGTGTGACCCACCGGAGTGGAGGCTAAAGATGCTCCCGGGTAGGGCAGCGATGATGGTGCACGGGTCGCTACATTTAGACATTTCTTATTCTGTGCACGTTACTTACTTCTGTTAATTAAAAAAGAGGTCTGTGGACCCTTTCTCTGAGCCTCTCCAAAATCCAAGAGACCAAAAAGAACAGATGTTAATCAACTAAAATATCATATTTAAAATTCCAATTATCTTAACAAAAATCCCTGGAATCAGTGTGGGTCTATTCTTTGGAAGAGTTTAAAGAATTTCATGAATGTTACTCATCTATCTTCCCAACGTTATCTGTCCACATGTCATCACCCCAGAATTTTCTAGCAGAATGGAATGCCACACGGGGCAGCCTGCTCTGCAGGAATGTTACAACGAAGCTGGATGACCGACCCCTGCCAGGAATGAAAGAGAGCGGTGCTTTCCCTGCACCCTTCTGTAAAAAGGGACTCAAATGACAGAAGACTCAAGAAGCAAGAAGATGCGGGGAGCCTGGGGCGCACCTCGAAGCTCCAGTTGATGGCGTTTTCTCTGGAACTACCACTAGAGGAACAAGTCTTGCATTCTTGTTCAGCGTATTCCAAATAAGAACTAACATTTACATAAAATCTTATGCTTCACAAAGAGCTCTTGATAAGCACTAGATATTTTTATCCCCATTTTACAGATAAAAGAATCAAAACCCAGAGATGATAAAAGATTTTGCCCAAGGGCACATAGCTCTGTAAGTGGCTGACTTGAGCTAGGTCTCTCTTCTTTTAAATTCTGTGCTCTTTTTCGCTTCTCCTTGTGGCCTTCAAATACTTCAAAAGAAGTGTTGCTGGAGCTGGCTTTACCCAATTGTAAAGAATAGAAAGAAGCTAAATATAAATCAGCCTCAGAGCAAACTTTGCTTTCAGTCAAGGCCAAACATGGCCAGCCTTTATTAATCCTTAGATATGAATTTCCTACCACATCTTATGCATGTCCTCTTTTGTTATCTGTTTCCTTAAAAAGAGGCCTTGGTCCTAGAGCAAAAGACAGAGAGAATCTAAAATGTCACATCTAGCTCAAAGCCCAAGAGACAAAGGACAAAGCCATGTAATGTTTCCCAGGCCTGGGCTCCAGGGGCCTGGTGAGATGAATAAGTAGAGGGCGTTCTTTTCCGATGACCTTCGTTCCCAGGTACCATGAGATAATGTAGCCCTGTCTCATGACGGTGCACACAGTCCTCATTCCACCCTCCATGCACATTGCCTGCCCCATGACAGGGGGCTGCCCTTTCTAATCTTCTAGCCACCCTTTATTACCATATAGGGAAAAAAAGCCTCAAACCCACTGTGAGGCGTTGCACCAAAGGAGATTTTCTTCAGAAGTTTGTTTCTCACTTGAAGTGCTGAGTTTAACCATCCCTGTGGGTGAATGCATGTGATAATGGAAGCCTTAAAATGATCTTTAACTGCAGTTTCCTTCCTTCTGTCCTGTGATAATGTGTAACTGGTACCAAGGGACCAATGAGAAATTTAACTTTTATAATTTTGGTGCAAAAGGGAGCAGCTCTTAAAGTGTACGAGCAGGCGCTGAGAAGAAAGCCCTTGGGACTGGAAATAACAAAGATGTTTCTGAGAGGAGAAGGAAGAAGGATCAGGGAACCCCTGGGTGTAGGAGCTTTCTGCAGAGCTGACGCGGAGGGCAGGAATGCTTTAGCTGATGCAAACTCATTTTTTTCCCTTGGCTGATCTGCATACATATTTTTCAGCTCTTTAAAATTCAAGGGAAATGTGAAGCATGAGTCAGTTGAATTTGTAGTCCAGCAATTTTGATGTTGGTGGAAGTTGTGCTTCTCTCAAATAAAAAGTATGTAACAGGGACGTGCTAGTTGCTGGTACTTGAGGTTTTCAGAACAATGCATACTATTTTTGAGGAGGCTATAAGATCTCCTAAAAGCCAAGAGCCCTTGGAGGGGAATATGACAGTTCTTATCTTGGTTTCAGGCAGGGTTTCTCAACCTCAGCACTCTTGCTGTTTAGGCTTGGAGGAGTCTTGTTTGTATGCAGGGTCGTCCTGTGCACCATTGGGTGTTTATCACATTCCCTGGCCTCTATCTGCTCCGCACCAGCAGAACTCCCACACTTATGTCAATCAAAAATGTTTCTCAGGGGGCTGGGGATTTAGCTCAGCGGCACAGCGCCTGCCTGGCAGGTGCAAGGTCATGAGTTTGATTCCCGGTACCGGAAAACAAAACAAAACAAAACAAAGTTTCTCAAATATTGCTAAATGTCTTCTGGGGTGAGGTTGGGGGGGGGGGGCACAAAGAAAGCAAAATAAAATGTATTAGGAAAAGTGTGAGTTTATTGGAGGGAAAATGTTAAAAAGGAAGGCAGCTGGATTTTAAAGGTGCTCAGCGTGCCTGTTCCTTTGTTGATGACAGTATAGTTGTCTCTTCAGCATCTCTGCGAGCGCAATCTTACCCAAATGACACTTTACCGGGGTTATCAGATTCAGCAAAACCCAAAACAAGATGCCTAGTTGAATTTATAGTTAGATAAACAGCTAATATTTTTTTTCCAGCATAAGTTCGCTCCATGAAATATTTGGGACATACTTATAGGAAAAAGGACTTGTTGGAAATCAGAATTAAACTGGGAGTCTTGTATTGAATCAGATCATCCCGTTCACCTGTTCCTGGCTCTAGGACCTGCTGTGACACAGGATTTGTTCTGATATTCAAGTACCTTGATAGCCTGGTCATCTTACTGACCAAATCTTATCCCCAGGATTCCTCACAAGAGGATGCAAAGCAGGTCCAACCCTTTCCTCTGCCCTCTTCAAATCCGTGTTCAAGCACTGCTCTTTTATATCTGTTGCTCTTTTCTCAGCTCAACAAGCCCCATTCCTTTGTCTGCCGTCCACATCTCGCCCAGACTTCAAGGCTTAGAACAAATGGCATCTGCTGTATGTAACCTTCCTTGGAAAGCTTCAGCTTCAGCACACGTAGCCGTTTCCCTACCCTGAGTTCCTACAACTGTGCGTAATTAAAAACCTCCAATTCTCTCTTTTTCTTGAGTAGTTTCTGGTATCTGGATTTTACAATTTTGATGAGATCCTAAGTTCTCAGTGGTAGGAGCCATGGCTTCTGATGAGCACTTAATAGATACTCAGTGACATTTCTGATGCTTGCCTGATAAGCGCTCCCCAGACCAGACTCAGCAGGAAAGTGCTGTCAGGACAGAAGTCATTTACTGTGTATAATGGTACATTGGCAACCGGTTTCTTTAATCAAAGACATTCTGTTGATTCATTGAAAACTTTTAGTCTTTTATGTGAAATTATAAATAGTAATAAAACTCCTGAAGCAGATATTTTGTTCCGCTTAGTGACCGGTAGCTTGCCTGACAGGGTGATGGCTTTGCTAAGCTAGTTATTAGTCAGCGACACGGTGACAGCTACGGTGGGTATACACATGTCCTGCCATTGTCCTCCTCCTAATCATGATATTTCTTCCCTCTGATTTTTATATTTATCTCTATTTGTGGCTTTGGCTTATGTTCACTTTCTTGGGTGGAGCAATGGGTTTCTATCTTGTTGTCTCATTAACTAAAACTTTAATTAAAACATACTGAGGGACTGCCATTGGACTGGAAAGTGTTCTACTCTTTTTTTTTTTTTTGGTACCCAGAATTGAACTCAGGACTTTGCGCTTACCAGGCAGGCGCTTGTACCACTGAGCTATGTTCCTGGCCCAAAGGTGTTATACGTTAGAAGTGGATTTGTAGCTTTGGACTATATTTAATAATTTTTCAGAAAGACTATTCAATATCTTCTAGTTCTTGTTCTTTTTCTTTTGGTTAGTTAATATACACTTATTGAAAGAATGGGCCAGAATCACATTTCTCTATCCATAAATTAATATGGAGGCATTCATATTCTAGATCAAGACAAGTTTTTCCCTTTGTGGGAATCCTCATCACAAATAAAAACTATGAATTTATCTCTATCTACATCTATATCTATAGGCACATATATACATATAATGATATATAATTTCATTAAATAAACACACACACACACACACACACACACATATATATGTTCAAGTTCTCCCTTGGTTACACATATATTTGAAGTTGTGCTGTAGGTTGAGTTTGTTCTAGAAAAATGTGCTTTTATAATTGAATTACAATGATACAAAAATTACACCACAAAGAAATCTTTAGTTACTCAGAAGATTAAAGTTGCTTTGGGGTATCAAAATAAATTCAGATATCAAATGAATCAAATAAAACAGCATTCACTCTGGGATTTACTAATGTCAGATAAGTGTTTAAGGTAGTAGGCAAAAGTTCCATCAAAAATATTGGAAATTAAAGTAACTTTTAAATCAGTAAGCGTGATATAATTCTAATTAAATTTTACATTTTAGTCACTTGTGTTCTGAAAAATGTATGATATGGCATTATTTTGTCTTGAATGTATTAATTTTATGAGTATTAAAATAAGCATTCAAGATAAAATTATTTGGAGGCTCATCCCTTTTTTTTAAAGAACAGATTATGAATATGTTGCCTCAACAGAATTGTTTATTTCACTTCTTTTTTAATTAGACTTTTAAAATACTGTTGGAGGGCGGAATTTTGAATACTACAGCTTTTTGTGTTGCCCTCACTTGAAATGCAGAAATGATTCTTGCAAGAGCACCTATGGTTCACAAATTGCTGGAATATTTCCCACCATGTAGGACACAAGCGAGTGGGTCCATTAAACTCATTAATCCTGAGTTTTGGGTATTTTCCTGGATAAAATTCCCATGGGAAGTAACAAAAATTATTCACAAGATCCCAAAGGCAAAACCTACGTGATTCCTCTTTAACTATGGCTTGGAGACTTTTAGAGAAGCCCATTGTCTAGGTTATTGTATGCAACAGTGGACACAAAACTATCTCATCAGTAAAAGGGCTCAAACATATTCTCCAGATAAGAAAAGGTACTGAACCTTTGTAGAAGCAGATCTGTTCTAAAGAACACTTTAAAATTTTCAGTTAGTATTAATCTTTTAGTATTTTTATAGCTAAGAGTAGTAGATACTGAGCAAACTGGAAATATTTATTACTGATATGCTTAATGTGTATTAGACTTTCAGTTTGGTATTTTAACAACTCCTTAGTGGTTAGATATTAGGATTTTGTTTTTTCTTCTTTGATGTGGTATAATTTAAATAGATTCATATGAATTAAGCACAAGCTCTGACCTTGTCCTTTCTGGTGGCCAGAAATCTAGGACAGAAACCAGGGGCATAGCTGGAAAAGTGAATAATTAGTGGTTCTGACTAATGATGTTTTATTTAATTTTTTTTTTTTTTTGCTACAGACAGGAAAAATTGAAAGCTTTTTGAAAAATTTTTTTTAAAGATGCAGTCAACTCTTAGCTGTTTTCTGGGAGACTGGGTTGTTTCTCTGTTTTGTTCTTTTGTGCAACATATTTACAGCATTACATGTTTGATTTGGTCTCTGAGAGACTGAATCTGAAAGTGCAAACTAACAATTTCCAGTTTTTAAAGTTTCTGGGTCTCCAGACTTAGGTAAGCCAAATATCTATGTCATTGTCTAAGTGGAATACTTTGTTTTTTATGGAGTAATTCGAATGCTTTAAATCTTAGGCTTGCTTTTTTAGATCACTGATCTCCAGTTCTGGCAGCCAGATGTTTCATAAATTTAAAAAAGTTGTTTCAAGGATTCAAGCTTGCATTTAAAAAAGTTTATGCATTGAGGTGTAATATTTACCCATATGAATTCTTATAGAAACATAATATTTAATTGCTCATGTGATTGTATCTTAATTGTCCAACAAGATGGCTAGTTTTTTGATTCAGGGGTATTTAAATGTTTTTTTGGTGTGCATTATTCCCTATATCTGGAAAGACTCATTCAGATCACTTGTTCCTTGATTGATTAGTTCTGTCTCTCACCTAATCAAAAAACAGAAATAAGCAATTTTCGGATCTTGTTGCTAAATCTGGTATTAACCCGATGTGGCAAATTCCTAATGACATCCGCCATGTTCTGCCTCTGTCAAATCCAGCTCAAGACCAACCTGACTCTGACAACCGTTATATATAGGATCAAGTAACTTTGTTGATTATCCCAATCATATCTGAAGTCATCCTTTGAATACTGTTGTGCTGAAGACCCAGGGAGTGGAAGAAATGCCATTCTGAAGACAAGTGAACAAACTGCATGTGGAGGACTGCTCTCCTCACTGAATCTTATTTCTTTTAGTTAGTTTATCCAGCCAACTCTAGATTCATTATCAGTTCAGTTGTCCCCCACTTCTACTATCTGAAGTCAATAAAGGAACTTCCAGAAATTGTTATCATAATTTTTCTTTTCAGGATTAAAATGAAGAAACAGTCTCAACAGTGAAAGACATTGTCTGCTGCCCATATCTACTTACCAACTCTGCATTGTTTGTAGGCAGTTTGTATGAATAGGAGTAAGGGTAGAGCAACATCTGGGAGTATGAGTGGATTGTCAAATATGCCTTGATGGAAGAGAGATTTTTCCGGATGAAATCAGTTAGGGCTTTGGTCTCTTTTTCAGACTCTGCGGTGGGTCCACAATATGTATCAGAACAGGGGCTTGTAGAAGCTCCATTTTCTGGGTAAAAAATAATTGCTGTTAATGGCCAATAATTATCTACTGAAGCTCTCAGAGGGGATGTTTTTATGTTTCAAAATTTCAAATCAGATAGTTGCATACAAATTGTTTTCCTAGGAGTCCTAGTAACTATCCTCCACTGTATACTTGGGGATGTATTTAGCCCCAAGATTAGTATTAGTATGCTTTTAAGATGACATGATAAAAAACTGTGCGTGAAATCACCCATGTGTCCTGGTGCAGTTTTACTCCATGGGATAAATATAGTGTAAGACAATTAATAAGGTCAAAGCTAATATTATGATCACTATTCACTGCATAACAATTTTATTTAAATAACATTTTCTTTCAGTTTTTTTATTAGCACATATTTGCAGTACATAGCGTTTACATTCCTTGTGTGGAGGGAGGGGGCACACATACAGAACACATCTTTATTTCTTTTTTCATCCCTCTTCCTTTCCCTCCCTCACCAATTCCTGTACCTCTTGATCTCTGCTTCCCATTTGAAAAAGGTCTATCTCCCTACTTCCTAGTATCTTTTATTTTGCCCTTTATTTATATTTTGGATTTCCCCTATAAAAGAAATCAATGTAATATTTAAGCCTTTGTGTCTGATTTATTTCACTTTATATTGTGGTCTCAAGGTGTACCATTTTCCTACAAATGACTCAAATTCATCCTTCCTTATGGTAGAGTATGGCTTTCTGTAGAGATTCACTAGTCTAGGCTCTCTAGACTGGATATTCCAAAGTTAGTAGTCTGATTTGTGCAGTATCATGACTCTACAATCCAACAGAGCTGGGAAAACAAAAGGATGCTCAATATGTTTTTGTCAAATGCATTAATAAACTATTGTCCGTGCTTTTAGAAAGTTAAAACTCTAAAGTATAAACTTGTTATCATTTTTCTTGTTTTAGTCACGGCTAGGTTTTCTTAGGTTACTTTTCCTCTTATGTTTTTGAAGTGATGTATGCAAAATAGCCAGATACCTACCACACCAACCAGCTTTAAAATTTCTGTTGGGATCTACACCACGACAGGATGATCCAGCCTGGGTCGAGCGGGTCTTTCTCCACATTCGACTCTGAAAGTGGATAATGTGATGAGAACATGCATTATAGAAAATAGTTGGTTTTAATTTCATCAGTTCCTCTCAGTATTGGTTCATATACCGAAGTCCAGGTGTAGATGTAGCCATCAATATTAAACACAGGCAGGACATAAAAGTCTAATTTATCCAGCAGCTCTGTCATTTCTGTGTCTTGTCCATAGGTGCGTACAGCCTGTACGTGAAATACAAAGTAGAATTTTATGCCAAAACGCAATAGAGTGCCTATAAAATTTACACAGATAAGATAAATATTGACTTTGACAATGAAGGCAGTGTTCTAAATTATGTTGTCAAAACTAATATTTTATAAAACAGTTGACAAATTACCAGATTTTAAATTTTTGTTTGTTTGTTTAAAATTGCTGTTTCTCATTCATCTCTACTCCTGGGATGCTTCTATTTCATCCATAAATAACTCACATATGTTAGTTTTATTTTAACTTTTTACTTGAAAGATTTAATAACATTAAAGACAAAAAATTTCCTTTTGGATAGCAGCTGCAATAATTTGTTATCAAAGTTAATAGGATATAAGGGAGCAAGACCTACTCCAATAAGTAACGAAGGCTGTAGGTGACTGTGTGTATTCCTTATATTCTCATCTAGAAATTTATTTATTACCTATGCAGCCTTCTATGGATTTTCTTTTTTTTTTGGTTTTGGTTTTTCTCCGGTACCGAACTCACGACCTTGTGCTTGCCAGGCAGGCGCTTTGCTGCTGAGCTAAATCCCCAGCCCCTGGATTTTCTTATTACAGGAAAATATGGAAGGAAAATGTGACTGTCTAATATAAGAACTTGCAATTGTGTTTCTTTGTGCATTATTTTCTCTTAGTATAGGTTATAAGGAGTTATTTAAAATTAAAAATACTTTCTACTTCCTTTTGCCAGAAATCTCTGTACATACTGACCTCTTTCACAAACCACTGGCAAAATGCAGGAGAAATCCATTCCCTTGCATGGAAACCACAATCTATGAAGATAGCAGGTTTATTTGACTTAGCTTTGCCAACCTAGAGTGAATAAAAGACAAAGGGAAATTGCGATCCATCACATGGCATTCAGGGTTAACATTCACTACCCTCCCCCGCTTTGGACTCAACAGGTGAAATCTGACAGCAGCAAGTCATATATCCTATGATTAAATTAAAGCACAATACCAGCACAGTATGTCTTGCCTCTAGACACTCACAATGTTTGAGCTGAAAGCTTACATGACTGTTTATTATTTTTATTAAGCTTGACAAGCTCATATTTCCCAAAGATGCTTGATTACCCTGTTTAATTGTACTCACGTGGAGGTTATTTTCAGCTGCTATTAATAGGTGACATGACCAAGACAACTGGATGAGTAATTAGAACTAATCATGATTCTTGCTAATCTTCTAAGAATCTCTCCTTCTCTCCACCGCTTTCTTATCTTTTTATTCCCTTCATTAGAATTACATGACAAAAATGGCAGCAGAGGCTGACAGAAACAAATTGTTGATATGCTTTGTAATGTTGCCTGATAGACGTGAAGTTTATGGACCTCTTTAGCAAATGAATTTGCAAACAACAGCTGCGAGAGAAGAATTTCATCAAGGTGGATGATTGTTTACGTTGCTTACAGGAATGTGGTTAAATTTATAGTACTTCTTTTATTGCATTTTCTTTTTGAATAAATCAAAATAATGATTTAAAATTTCACATATGATACAAGAAGCTGGGGAATCTGTTTTGACTCCCTAGGGGATATAGACAGGAAAGGAGTTATAACAGTGTTTGGGATAAGCATGTTGTCTGTGAAACAGATGTTCATGCATTAGAATTCATTGATTTAAAGCCTTCAGACATGACAAGGTCATGATTAAAAATAATTACCTTGAGGAGGTACATTGAACGTCCTTCAAACGTGGTTCCGATGACACTGCGAGAAATAAGACCTGGATTCTCAGCGGCGATTTGTTGAGTCCAGGCCTCTATCTACCAAAGGGAATCATTTGTGGATTAATGGGACGTTCTCGGTCAATGCCCAAAGCAATGTCGGTGAAACCCTGTGTACAATGTACCGTTTCCCAGTTGTTGTACTTCGTATAACTGTGTCCAGTTGCACGGCCGTGGCTATCAAACTGAGCTTCCATCGCACTTCTCAGGTTGCTTATCAACACCCTACAATGAACCAAAGCAGATGCTCCTAAGGATATGAATATATCACCCACACCCCCGCCATCATCACACGTGAAATGGCAGTCACTGCTTTAGTAGATGGTACCATGCATTCTTCAAGGACTCACATGTTATTCTTTGATTGCCCCGTGCTCTTTAGTCAGAGCTGGGCCAGGGTGGTTCTGTTACTGGTCATAAAGAGTAAGTCACTGAGGAGGACACTGGAAGGCTTGCGCTAGGCTTGCTCTTCCTCTACTCAAACTTCACATCATTGGGTGTCTTTAGTTCCCAGGTACCTGGGCATTCTGCGTCAGGGTGTTGAGTGTCCAAACATCCATGTGTACTGGAGGCCTATCTATGTCACTTTCAGGACCTTCTTGGTTTTAACACTACAACCCCCACATCCCGGAAACCCACTCAGTCCCAGGGAAACAGAAAGTTGGTTTCTGTAGGTTTTGAGAAGAACAGTTTTTGTGCCTGGAAATTTAGAAATATCAACAAGCTAAAAATTAACTAGGGAAATGAACACTAAATTTAAAGAACTAGTTTCTTGCATATTTGGCTGGTTTAAGCAATTTAATAGTAAGGAGAAAGGTAATATGATAATTGGAGATATGATCTTTGAGGATTGTCTATTTTTATAAACGCATGGTGCAGTTGAAAGTTGCAATTCAGAGAGGCAGGCTTGAAGGTGTGTGTGTGTGTGTGTGTGTGTGTGTGTGTGTGTTCATTTCCCTTTGCTACTCTGAATAGAAAGGGGTTTGCAAGGGACACAGTTTTATGGACTTTAACGTCTTTGATCATAGACCTATGAATATAACAGACAGAGACCAGTGTGCAGAGCCTACATTATTCCCAATCAAGCCTTGAGATGGTTTTATCTGACAGACAGAGAATTGTAGACACACATCAAAAGTCTGCTTTTCTTCTGCTGCCCCAAGGGCACTCTGATGAAGTCTGTCAGAAACTTCCTGTGCACCTCCCTCCTAGTCACTCCTTCATTTGGTGAACTTGGGTATCAACTTGTTTATGGAAAAAGCAATAAATTAATACTAAACAGCATCCGCTTCACTGCAAATGGAAAATACTGTTGTAAGGTCTTAACTGTCTCAAGGAATACTGCATTAAAAAATGAAAAGGATCAGTCCTGAAAATTTATTCCATTGAAAGTAAATTTTCCATTGGACAGTTACAAAATTTTGTTAGTATATTCATTTTCTATGGCTCCTTAAATTACCACAGACTTAGAGGCTGAGAGCAACACACATTTACTATTTTACAGTTCTGTAGGTTAGATGTCCAGTGCAGGTTGCAGTGGGCTGAAAGCAAGCTGTCCACAAGAATGTGTTTCTTTCGGGAGTTTCCAGGGAGAATCTGATTTGTTGAAACTCTCTGAAGCTCCTGGAAGCTCTTTGCATTTCCTGGCTGTGGCCCTCTCTCTCCATCTTTGAAGCTAGCAATAGTGAATCAAATTGTCATGTCCATTCTGGCTTCCTCTTCTGCTTTCTACTTTTAAGTACATATGTGGTTGCACTGGACTGTCAGGCCTACCCAGGATAGTCTTCCTATTTTAAGTCAACTGGTTAGGAACCTTAAGCTATCTATTACCTTAATTTCTCTTGTGAGGTACTGTAACATATTCAGACATACTGGGGACTAGGATGTAGATGTCTCTGGGGCACTATCATTCTGCCTATCACAGTTAGGAACAATGATTATGGTAAGTGCCATAAGTATATTCTATACCCAAAGCAGGTGGTTAGAAAATAGGGTGGAAGAAGAAGAAATCTTAAATTAAGAATAGAAAGAGCAACATTATAGTTTGACTGAAGCCATTAATTGGTTTTAGAAAAGTCATTTAATCTTTGGGCCTTCATTTATACATTTTAGAATGGGGATATTTAGGTAGTGGATACTCAATGTCTTTTTGGATTCAAAAATGCAGGGATGTGTCTCAATGCACAGGGCTTAGTTACACAGGTGTTTTCCAAGGTCTTTGAATTTCTGCTTGGCCAGTTACCACCTTTATCTACTCTAAGAAAAGATGCAAGAAATTAAAGCCTAGAATAGAGATACTTGAGGAAAAAATACATAAATAGAAAACAAAACAAACAATGAAAACCTGGAGACTTTAAAAAATCAAGTGGAAGAAAACAACTGTGTTTATTCCAATATCGTCAATTTGAAATATCATCCTAACAAGTATGAACGTCTCTGACTGAATTACAAAAGAAGAGCAAGCAAGCAAGAGGGAGGGAGGGAGGGAGAGAGAGAGAGAGAGAGAGAGAGAGAGAGAGAGAGAGAGAGAGAGAGAGAGAGAAAGAGACTTAAACTAGATTTTCCATTGTCAGTGATTAGCAAAATAGCATCTAGGTCATTTGGCTACTTTGTGGCTGCTTAGAGAAAAGATATAGTCAGTTGCTACCAGGCATTCACAGCTTTAAGGCTTTTAGTAGATACCTGTGTCTATGGCTATATTGATGGCTATTTCCAATCTATCAAGTACCAGTTTGAGGCAGCGGTAGAGAACAAAACTTCCAGAACATACAGCTTTTCTTTCACTGCACCCAACTCTCACTAATACAATATTAGTTAGAAGAATTGGTGAGCATGTGGGGGCTAGTGTGGTTGTTTGGTACATTCTGTTAGAGTTATTGCAGTGCTAAATATTAAACATTTTCATCAGTAACCAGAACAAAGAAGCATTAAAACAATAGATAACCTCAAGATGACACCCAAGAGTAAAAGTATTCTTTAGTAACTTGTGAAAGAGCATCAAAATGAGGTTAAAATGTGGTGCTAACTTCTGCCTGAAGACAGGGGATTGACCTCAAATGATCCTTTCCAGCCTCATGATTATTTGATTTTATTAGATTTAGGACAAAGTAGTACTTTAACTGTATAACAAAATATTATTACTAAATCATGAGCTACTAGTGTAGAAGATTAAAACAATGCCTCTTAATAGAATAGGGACCACATTACAGCTCCGAAATACAGAGGCACATACACTATTCTTTACTTTTATATGCACCTTTTATAGCACCATCCAACTTCTTTTCTCCTTTTTAAAAATAGGCAAGAAAATTAGATAACCATGACTCCCAACAAAGCAAGTAATGTACTCTCTGAGAAGGAAAGGAAGAAATGACTCAATTTTATCTCTCCTTCAGATTCGAGAAGACAGAACATTAGTTAAGTTCCTGGACTGTATGCTCACTGCTACTAAAGAACGCAACCTTTCTGTCAGAGGACATTTCCCCGTCTGACTCTGAAATGTGCAGAAAAAGGGTTTGATAAGCAGTTAGCAACAATTAGTATACCCCTGGATTGTACAGGGAAAAGGCAAACTTCCTGAATTTGTGGGAAGGAGTTCTGCGAAGGGCTGCCCACCAATGGGTTCTGTCAACTTAGCTTCAAATCATAAGCTGAGATTCACATTATCCAACTCCCAGATGGTGGCACCATCTGAGGGTGTCACCCAGACATATAAAGCTATAGTTTGCTTCCTGTATACATTTTAATTTTTTTTGTGTGATATTACAGGATTTGGCTAAAATGATAAGTTTTGCCCAAGAGGGTGGGAGGTGGAAGGCATCAAAAAATCTGACAAGCTATATTGGCGCAATGTGCGGAGCACACACATGCAGTTGTACACACACACAAGTGCAAGTCCTTGGAGCAGGACACCGTCTAAATACACATTAGTTACTGTATGAAGTAATAATGGGATGGATGCACAAGGACTCCTTGCAACACCAGCAAGGATATTGCTGGTGTGCTTCTCTAGAATTTACAGGGACTTATAATTATTTAATATTTAGAAAATTATGTGCCACAGTTGTGCTCAGCAGTGAACAGAGAAACAAAAATTAACAAGATCTTTGCCCTCAAGGAACACCCTACGTTCTGGGTAAGACATTTATCCATAATTCCCCAAAGTTTCCCACTGAAAAAATGAAGTACATTTTCTGCAGAATAAGGTAAATGGAGATGGAGGTGAGATCAGAAGTTATTTTACTGTTTTGTGGTGTGAGTAGAATTGGGACATAATTCAGGTGCTAATATCAGTCTCTGGTTGCTGATCTTCCTTTGTTTCCCCTCAAACAATTCTAAAAAACTTCATCTTTTGGAATGTTATTGAGTTTCCTACAGGCTAGGATTTTAGAATTCTTTCCTATCTAAAAAGAAGAGCAAAATGTCATAGACATGAATCTTAATCACATTTTAAAACTTACAAGGTTGTATTTTTGTTTTAAAAAGACAGTTGATACTAAAGGTTATGTTTTGAAACTTCCCTTAGGCAGAAGCAGATAGTGAAGCTAGATGAGGCGTGATAATGGGGTCAAACATAACAGTTTTATTGATCCTTGAAAAAGGGTAATGTATTTTCCCTCTTTGTATGATAGTAAGCCATAGCATCATTCTCAGAGACAGTAATACCAGTTGCAATTCACATACTGTTTTATTTCAACTCCACAGCAGTCCTTGAGAGTGGCATTGTAGCTTCTCTTTGGATATGGAAACTGAAGCTCAGAAAGGGGAAGCAGATTACCCAGCATCTCACAGCCAGGAAGTTGCAGAGCTGAGATCAGAATTCAATCCAAGGTTTTTCCCAAAGTCTTTACTCAATGCACTATGCTACACCATTTCTGATGGTGGTTCAGATTTTATAGGCGATGAGTCTGACGTCCTCACTGATACAAATTTTTTTTTTTATCATTAAGATGCAAAAAACAGCACAAATCCTCTAATGTGAAAATTATATAGATCAGTTTTCTCAAAACATAATGAAGAACTGAGAATCTGGTAGGGGTTTGTTGGTAAAATATTTGAACACTCGGAACTGGAGCTTCAGAATTTTTCTTTCCTTTTCCCTGGTCCACTTTTGGAGGAAGAGCTCTGCTTTGTACTGAAGACCTTATTTCTTCCTTTCCTTTCTGCAAATCCCTGCAGGTTCTTTACCACCTGTGTGTCATAGCCTATGGTCCATTCTCTGTCTACAGTGTGGTTTTTCCTTGTCTTTTTCTGACTAACCCCTCCTCATCATTTAGTTCTCAGCTAAAGCCTCATCTTATAAGGCAGCCTTCCTTGACTTCTGGACTTGGTTGTTCCCTTCATTCTCTGTCTCTCTGCCCTTCCTAACATCTATTATACACTACTGAAATTTCCTATTTAAAGCCTGCCTTTTCCTACAGGAGATGAAGCCATACCCAGCTTCTTTAGTAGTTGATACATGTAAGCACCAAACATACACATATATTTGTTGGATCAGCAATGGACAACTGTCTCTTAGGAAGGCATTGTCACCTTGTAACACCCAGATGGGCCAGTGTGGTATTTGGGGAGAGTATACATAGGAGATCAGTTTTAGTCAACTCTGTTGTACATCTTTGGGGAATCAGTTTTCTATCTTTGGGTTCCCTCCATCTTTTCTTCTACCAGCACAGATTGTGATGGGATCTTGGGAAAAGGACAGACAGGTCACTCAGACTGTCTGTAATCTTGTATTTAAATTAAGGAAACAGAAAGAGCCCTTTTGACTCACAACTGGTCATATTACCCGGAAAGAATATTTGATAATATTTGGGGTTAAAACTGTGTCTGAGCCAGGTGTGATGACATGATCTATAATCCCTGCACAGTGAAAAGCCCAAGGAGGATCACAAATTCAAGCACAATTTGGACAACAATTTAGCAGCTTTAAAGACCCTCTTTTAAACACACACACACACACACACACACACACACACACACACACACACACACACATCCTGGATATTTAGCTCAGTAAAAAAGCTCAGGGTTCAATCCCCAGTACCACAAACAAAATGAAACAAAGTAAAACAAAGTGAAAGCATTCATGTGTGGTTGATAATAGAAAGTCCATTGGTTTGGTCCATACTCTTCCAAAGTCATAACAGATTAGATTTCCAGCTAAGTAGTTGAGGTTCAGGAGTCAAACTCAATATCATTAGAGCAATAACCAAACATAAGATTCACCAAGACTGAAGTCTTAAGTAATCCAAGACTAGTGTTGCCATTTCCTCTTGGTGAGGCCATAGGGAAGACCTGGTTTTGGTCTTACTTTTTCCTTCCCAGGGTAAGCAAAGACTCAGATAAAAGCATGCAAATGGGAGAGAGTTCATCGCTACAACACATAAACTTACTCATAGTATAGTTTATTCTTCTCCAGGAAGTCTTCCACAGTGACCGCATCTTCCGCTTTCACGTGGAAGTCAACTGTGCTGTGAAGTTTGATTTGTGTGACAGAATCTGGTTTCCAGAAGTCAATCTAAATAAAAATCAAGATATACTGTTTTACATTTATATAGTTTAACTCAGGAATAATCTGATAGCACAATGTTATGCTAGTCCACTGCATTATTTTCAAAATAAAATTACCCACAGTCTCTTAAAAATATCTCCTTTGAGTGAACAAAGTTTGGGACTAAGCACTTAGATGTCTACAAAAATGTTTACAAATACATATATAACCTTAATTGATTATCCACAAGCACAAAAAGCATATCATTATTTTCTACAATACTAGTGAACTTCAGTATTCTATGACTACTCTTTTCTGTTTATTGATTTTCTGGAGCACTTGCTTGTTATGGTAATGGTCTTTGACACAATGGATAAGACAATGGATAAGTGTCTGAATGAATGACAATGAATGAATCACAGCCAGTAAATTTTGTGGCCAAAAATTGAGCTTTCCTTTTCACTTTTTCATGTACTTATTTTATGAGTTTATCTTGGAACTTAATTCTGTGCAAGTCTTAGTAATGTGTATCACCAGGATCATCCTTGATCTCTGGAGGGTGCACAGAAAGAAACAAGGTATCTTTCCATAGCAAATGTCTGGGCACCCTGGCTAGAAAGAAAATACACTTGGGCATCCAGGAATGTACTGACATTTTCATTTATGTAGTTATTTATCAGGTATTATTGAGGACTTATTTTACAGTGGGCTCTGTGCCTGTTACAATGGATATACTAGAAGGCAAATGGAGTATGACCTCTGTCTCCATGGAGGAAATTTAGAGAAAATTAAGTACAAAACAACAGTATGACATATTTGATGATTCTAATGCATTTGTTGGTGGATGTGTGGTTTTAAATATCCCTAGAAAACTATTAACTAAACTATACTGGCACATGTAGGAGCATATTTTCTTCTTTCTCCCTTTCTAAGTAGAGGTCCAGAGGAATGACACTGCGTCTTTTTTTGCCTCTTGTGCTTCATCCAGCTCCTGTTTGGGTGTCTGTGGGTTAGGCTTAGGCCTGATATGTGTGTGGTGGTATTTAGAACCATTACTTGCAAAGTGGAAAGGAAGTTTGAACACACTCAGAGACTACAGAAGAAACTGAGGAGGTAATGTTTTAAGATTCTTTGATTTAAGATATTCCTGTGGGAAATCCAATATCTTTTATCTTGTCCTGGTTGTCTTCAAACTGCTGTAGAAGTCCAGCAGGTTCTGAGCTGTGGGTTAGGCCTAAAGGGAAGGGGAGGCCAATGGAAGGCAGGACCTGAGAGTCTATCCAAAAGGATTCCAGAAGCAAAGATGTGAATGTGGGTATCACCAGAGACATTGAAAGGAGAGAGTATTGATGACTGAATAAGTTGTAGCCCAGTGAGCCAAGGGTTACAGGACGAAGATGAGAGAGAGGTTCAATGACAGAAGAGGAAGTACAAAGGCATGCCATGATAAGAACAGAGAAAACAGGAGGCTGGTGATACATTCTGGTTAGCCAGTGCTGGGCAGAGAAGGGTAGTGAAGATAAAGACATTATAAGACAATATATAGTTTTGAAAGCTAGAGCTGCATTTATGTTCCTAAATATGTTCCTCTCAGTCCAAAGTAATGAAGCAGAGGAAAATATGCCTTTTTTATAGATACAGAAGTTTGGCATGAGTGAAGCACATAGAGTCCCAAGGTGTCGGTAGCCTACCTGGACAGTGCCTCCTTACTTGCACACAATTGCTGGGACTTTTCAAGTGCTCAGGGGACTCCTTGCACCCCAGATCTAAATCTCTTTCCCTCAGAACTGAGATGAGCCAACTATCAGCTCCAGGTTGGCACAGGTATCAATGATATAACTTTCAGTAGAGCTCCTCAACCAGTAACTCTGACTAGTTGTCAAGGTTCCCCCTCTTGAACTTGGAATAATTCTGAAATGTGTAGTTTGTACTCTTTTGTAAAGTTTCTCTGTGGGCTGAGCTCCAGCTATCCTCTGTGGTAGCCAGTTTAAAAGTGCTGCACCTTTGTTGATTGCCTTCCTTTCCCTGTGTCATCCCTCACGTCTTAAACTTTTCTTACCTGTGTTACCTGCACTCTCAAGCAAAATCCTTTCTATCAAATTTTTGCCTCAGGGTTTGCTCTGAATGGACCCCTGTGAAAATGCTAGCTTTTCACTCTGCATGATGTCTTTGGTCGTGGCTGTAAGACAACCTTGAATATGATTCTCTTTCTGATATTAAACTGAAAATTGCTTTCTCTAATGTCCCAAGCTCTTGCCCATTGGCTCTTACTCTGTCAAATATTGGCACTCTGTAAGATTCTGCTGTGAGAATGGATTCTTTAACAGGGCATGGTGATGAAAATCTGCAGACCTAATCTGAGGTTGAATATTTCAGTTTGACATGACTACAATTGGTCAGTAAATCTGTAACCATCCAACAGTGTGGAGTATTGCAGGTGTGATACAAAGTAACCATCCTAGAGTCTCCAGTACTATGCAGCAGAAATATAACAACATCAAGAACAAAGCTATACTCTCATAGCCGCTTGTAAGTTCACTAGGTATGGACACAAACAGACTCAAAGCAATAACACAAGGAGACAAAATGGACTTCAGGAATTACCAGGAATCTATGGATGAAATTAACGCCCAAAATTTAGAAATGGGATAAAATATATAAGAAGCAGAGAATTGAATTATACCTTAAGAAGTTATGAAATTGAAGTTGTAAATCATACGTGTAGGATATTGAGTGGCAGAGAACCATGCAGAATATTTATTGAGTGATAAGGGGATATCTTTAAATGATAACTTTGTGAGAATAACAACTTAATCAGCAAGATGGGTAACAAACAAAAAGTTCTCCCTAAACTACATCACAAAACTAGTACAAAAGCAAGGTAAAGTAGCATATAAGCTTTAAATTCTTTCAGGAATAAAATTGGTGCAAAAAAAAATTCAAATATTGGTGTTGGAAATCTTTGGTTCCTCACAAATTTGTTCTTTTCGTATTGTATTTGATAGTAAGTCAAACCTCATAGATCTTTAATTTATCTTATAGGCATTTTTCTTTGTTAGAAAAAGAAGCAAGTTCTATTGTAGGTCTAATTTCAGACAGCAAGGAGGAAACTTCTAGGGTAACAGCAATGATGAGAACACAAGAAGACCATAACTGTGTTATCAAAAACATTGAGAAAAACACACCTTCAATTCAGGGAAAACAGAATTCAAGAAAGTCCAGAGAAAACAGATGAGGTGTCATGGTGACTGTCTCTAAGAGGAACCAATGCAACCTTGGAGATAAAATAAAATTCTTCTTATACAATTACATGTGAAGAAGGAGAGGCTGCCGGAGTACAATGTGGTCACAGATCTCTCTGACACACTCAGCTTTTAAAAGGACATGTTCAAAAGCTGGGAGGAAGGACACAGGTCCAAGGCTGAATACAAAGACTGCATGCCCTTGTAATGATCTTATCAGGAAGGCTACCACCCAAAATATACTCATCCACATGATTGCTAAGCAGAATAAAAATCTCTTTATTTCATGTTGGAAATCATAAAAAAAAAGAAAATAAACAAAAACAATGTGTCCTAGTGTTGGAGCAAAAGCAGATGTTTGCGACTGAAGCAGAGAAAGTGGCCCTCTCACTCTTTTTTGGCTCCTGTATTGTCTCAGAAAGAATTAATGCTAGTCCTTATTTTTTCTACTTCTGATGATAGATGAGATTATCCTCTAGATAAATAAAGACTTTTTCACATGTTATTTCAGCAGAAATACTGCTTGTTTTTTTTAAAGAAGGAAAACACATTAACAAACAGACCTCCATTTACAAAACAGCATAAGAACAATACAAACAATACAGAGTTACAGGAACGTGGTAGGAAATTAACAATGGTTGTTGTATTACGCATTGATATCTTCAAAGTGGTTTCTCAGGAAAACAAATAGAGACACGGAAGATTGATCAAATAAGTAATCATCAGCTGTTCCTCTCAGAAATACTGCTTCGGGAGGAAGAAGTACATTGAAGCCAAGGTTTGTAAATTATATTCAGAATCCCGGATCTAGTGATCGTAATAATCAAATGCTTATATAGCTCTTCCTATTTAAATTATTTCTAAGTGCTTTACTTTTATTCTTTTAACTCTAACAATAATGCTGCAAGGTGAATAATATGATTTACAAACAAGGAAAGTAAGACTCAGAGAGGTGTCTAAGGCCCACCCAGCAAGTGGTAGGGCCAGGAATTGAGCCCAGTCTGAGACCAGATTTTCTACTCTTAACCACCATAAAATGCTGAATTTTAGATAACTTAAAAAATACTGCAGATGTGATTATAAAACGTTCTCAGCAATATTGGAAGAGTGAGAGCCTAAAGGCCCACTAGGGAGTAGAGGAGGGTAGTCTTCGATTTTATAAACAGGAAAACAGGTGAAAGCCAGAAGCAGGAGCTCCTAGGGCCTGGCATGGATTCTGGCAAAGCTGCCGACTAAACTGGAAGCAGATGGACTGCGAGTGCTCAGAAAAGGAAGCTGTGATCTGTAGGAGCAAGCATGGTTTAAAGCAAGAACAAGTCAGGTCCAATTAGTGTCACCTTATTATTGGAAGAGATCACTAACCTGGCAGAATACCGAGTCTCGATCTCAATAAAGTATTTGACGAGGTCTCTGCGTTGATATCCTTTTTACAAGCTGGAAAGCGGCACAGCGTTAGCTCTAGATAAACACCCCACTAACTCAGGGTGGTTGAGCAAATTTATCCAAGGAGAGTGGGTTAATGAATCACTTTTAGCACTTAACGTGGTATCTGGTGCACTGGGGATTCATGGTAAATATGTACCGATTGAGTAGAACATAAAGGAGGCATCGATTCCGTGCTGATCCCTGACCTACTTAATACTTTTCTTCAGTGACAAAGATAAAAGTCAAGAAGGCACGCTTCCAAAACTTGCTGGTGATGCAAAGTTAGGGGGAAGAATTATTTCCTTAGATGACTGAGTTTATTTTAAAAAAGATCTAAACATGTTGAAAGCACGCTATCAAGATACATCCTAGCAGCATAAATCTAAAATCCTACATTTAGGTAAAAAATCAATTAGGCAAGCACAGAAGGAGGCATACCTTGTCTGAGGGTGATGCATGTGAGAAAAACCATTAATGGTTTTGATTGAACACAGGTTTAATAGAGGCCAAGAGTATTCTATGGCTGCTTAAGATGCTAAAAAGAATCTTAGGCTCCGTTAATAAATGTTTCCTTTACAAATGAAGGTAGGCAATGCTCCTGCAGTATGTATTAATCAGAACACACTCGGAGCCCCAATGTCGATTGTGGTAGCTACATTTAAAAAAAGAAACACAGACATAAAGTCTGAGCTATAATCAGAGGAAGCCAGAATGCTAAGAAATCTGTAAAGTTGTGCTAAAAGAAATGGTGGAAGTCTAGAAAAGATAAATCTTAGATGTAACACAGTATTAGGATTACATAGGTCAAGCGGGTCAAAGCTAGTTTTTAGTTCAATATAAGGAAGAAAACAAGATGATTTGTAAGGAAAATGAGCAATTATGTAAGTAGTGAATCTATTGTTCCTGGAAGCACTTGCTACTGTTTCCTGGGAGGAAATTCTAGATTTAAGTGGAAGGATGGAATAGATGACTTTATGTTCTCTTTCAGTTCTAATTTTCTGATGTCATGACTGTGGTACTATTTTTTCCTTCCTCTGCACCTGAAAAGCTAAAAACTGAAAGATAGACCGAGAGATGAGAGACAGATATTTAGGAGCTAAGAGATTATTTTATTTTATATATTCATGAAGAAATGGCATTAGCCGAAGTAGAAATATTTGTGGTTAACAATAGCTGCCTGCCACAATATGTATACAATTAAAAATGTTGGTTCTTGTCCCAGATCCAGAGGTTTTTTTTAAACAGTAGTATAGAGATTTGTTTCTTGAAAGCAAAAGAAAAGTAAGGAAGTCACTCTTTTTTTTTTTTTTTTTTAACTTTCTTTACAGCTTTACATTCTATCATTAAGGGAACCAAAATCAAGGTAATGAAAACTCAAGCAGTTTGATTTGACATGAAAGAAAATCAAAGAGAGCAGATGATACATGGGTTGTGGAAATGAATTTGAAGTTGGACAAAAGCCTAGTTTTTCAGGAATATCCAGGTCGATCATTTTTCTCTTTTGCCTTAGAAAGTGACTTCATAAGTGAAATTTTATAACCTTCAAGGCAATTCAAACTCTTTCACCTGTAGCATTTCAAACTTTTTAACAGTATGCATGAATCTATAATACTGTGAGGTGTACAATGGTCTAATTTTGTAGAAAGAAGGTATTGTGACATTGAATACCTTCCAGATTTTTATTTCTTGCTACCAAAAATACTATTGCTGTTATTTCATCTTATTCTTCCTTTGATGGAAACATAGCACAATCAGCAGTTAAAGTAGGGGTGAAACAGAGAACTGGGAATATAGTTCAGCGGCAGGCTAGCACAACATCCTGAGTTTGATTCCTGGTACAAAAAAAAAAAAAAAAAAAGAAAACATACCTAAAGTATAGACTTGTTACTAACCTGGTTGGTGCTGGCCAACTCATGCATTAAGTTCATATGATTTTCATCTTCAATACTGACACGGAAAACCTTATTGCTAAATGGTGAAATAGCAGAAAAATAAAAAAAAAAATTTAAAATTGGGTGGTATGTCCAAACTTTTGGGCAAGGAAGAACTTATTCTTTAAGGAACTGTTCACCTACCCTTCAAAGTCCTCATGAGAATGATGAGCAGATGCCAAGGCTACAGTCACCAGAATCAGGAACGCCAACATTGTGCTTGAATGGGTCAGGTGGACGACCCAGGGTCTCACCTGCTTTTATACACTAGAGTGTTCTTTTCTTGTCCAGATTGCAAATATACACTATCAGCTTTTTTTTTTATACTGGGAATTGAACTCAGGACCTTGGGCTTGCCAGGCAGGTGCTGCGCTGCTCAGCTATATTCCCGGCTGACACTATCAGAGTTTGATTAGTGCTTGTTTTGGCATTATTGCTTGGTACCTGTATAAAGTCTGAGAAAATCTCTCTTGCAACACCTGTGGAAACAGCAAGTAATCTCATTTAGTTATTTAATATGAATGGCAGACCTTGAATAGTATGGAGGAAATTGAATTTTAAATAAAATCTATGTTCTACTCTTTTTTAAAATTGAGAGTTACCCACAGTGAATTCTATAGATTGAGCTGCAAGGTTTGATGAGTTTTATTAGTGTATATACATTTATATATTTATCGGTGTTTTTGTCTATATTATGAGGTTGTTCCTTTTTATTAATAAGTAATATTCCACTGGAAGAATATACTATAATTTGCTTAACTATTTTTCTGGTGGTAGATACTTATTTCCAATTTTGTGTCATTGTTGTGTCAAATAGCAATACACATTTTTGAATGGGTCTTTTTGTGGTCATTTATTTTCATTGCTAAACAGTAATGTAGCTGTAGGTTTAACATTACAAGATACTGCCAAACATTTTTTCATAATGGTTTTACCATTTTTGTTGTTGTTGTTGTTTGGTTTTTGTTTTTTGGTACCAGGAATTGAACTCACAACCTCATGCTTGTCAGACAGGTGCTGTGTTGCTGAACTAAATCCCCAGCCCCAGTTTCACTATTTTAAGCACCTCTCCCCATCCAATTATCCTCAGTTTTCTCCAATATTAATTTTGTATTGTCTAATTTTAATAATTTTAATGAGCATGAAGTAGTATCTAATTACAATTTTAATTTGCATTTTTTGTGAGGATTAAAAATATTGAATATGTTTTCATGTACTTAATGCCCTTTTGTGAAGGATCTAGTAAAGTCTTCTGTGATTTCAAAAGAGATTGGTGTTTGTCTTTTCTTTCTTGTTTTGTAGCACTTCTTTTTTTCAATTTTAAAGAGAAAAGAATGAAAACAAGATAAGAAAAAGATAAACAAAACAACATTTAACAATAAAAATGATACAGAATTTGAAAACAAGGTGATAGGAAATTAACAATGGTTGTTGTATTACATATCCTTATCTTCAAAGTGGTTACTCAGATAACCAAATATAGGCATGTAAGATTGATCAAACATTAACTGTTCCTTTCTCTAAACCAATAGAAATTAGTAGTACAATTATCTTAGCTATCTTGTGTTGTAACACTTCTTTATATAGTTTGAGTTCTGTTAGAAATCTGTATTGAAAATATTCCTTCCCTTGCATTTTCATTTCCTCAATATTATCTTTTGATGAGAAAGCATTTTAAATTTTGTTACAGTTTCATTTTACCTATGCTTTTCATTTCAGTTAGTGCCTTTACATTATGAATTAGTCAATGCTTAGTAGAACCGGATGTAGCTCTGTCCACAGGTTAGAGACCCGAAGAATCCAGCAGAAGGCCTGGAGCCCAAGACAATGTTCCTTGTCAGTGCAGCCCAAGGCTTAGAGCCCATGGCTTTGTGCTGTGCAAGTCCACACGAAGAGGCGGAGGAATCCGCAGTGGAAGAAGTGAAGGGGCTAAGTGTGCGCAGGATGGCTGAAAGGTCCATGCTAGAAGGGGAAGAATCCACAATCCACCCTGAGAACCAGGAGACCACGCCCAAGGCAAAGACAGAGACCAGAGGTCCCCTCTGTGCCAAAGGATGCTCAAGGCCAGGGCGAGCCCTAGAGCTCTTCTCCAGAGAACAACAGCATCCTCCGCGAAAACTGAAGCTTCTCTGTGGGAACTCGTCATAAAATACTGCTCTCCTGTTCTCCGTTTATACCAGAACCATGCTAACCAGAACCAGAACCAGAACCACGCTAACTCAGTTAAGGTGGGTGTTCTTACTCAAGTTGACCATCAATTAACCAACCACCACACATTTTTTCCACAAATCTTTGTCTATCCCAAGGTCTCAGATACAGTCACCCATGTTTACTTATAGAAATTTTGTAGCTAGAAACTCTTATGTATGGAGTAAAGTCTACGTCAATGCCTACGTCAATGCCTTTTTAAAACTATGGGTATCCACTAGGTCTAGTTTTATTTCCCCATTGAATTGCGTTGGTTTCTTTGTCAAAATTCATTTGCCATAGATGTGTGGGGCAATTTCTGGACTTTTTTGGTGGCCCATTGATATGTCCGTCTAATTTTACACAACTACTATAATGTCTTGATTAATATACTTTATAAAAGTTCTTAAGATCAGAGAGCATATAGGCCTGCTAACTATTCTAAGATTATTCTGGCTATTTTAAGTATTTTATATTTACATACATATTTTAGAATAAATGTGTCAAAAAATTGTACTGGAACTTTGGGATTGCATTAAATCTGTGGACCAATTTGAAGAGAACTGAGATCATTATAGCATTGAGCATAGTATTAGTCGAAAAGTTTGAAGAGTCTGGGAATTTATTCTACCTACAAAATAACAACTTATCACAGTCTCATAGAGGTTGGTGCAAGGTATGAAACTTCTGGGTCAGAAACAAAGGGCTTTACTCCTGGTACAGTAAGCTGCATAAACTTCATGTTTATATCAGTTACTTTACTGCCTGGTCCCATGGGTATGATGTGCAGTAGGCTCGGTGGGTCCTGTGTATATAGGTCTGCATCACATTTATATACTGAATTTAGGGAATGCCCAGTCTTATGTGGGCATGCTAGAAAATCTACCCAATGTTTGCCCTAGAAGAGATACTAACTTTATTATCCTGCATAACAAACAGATCTTTCTTTTTCCCTGGAGGTAAGCAATATCTCTATCTTTCATTCTGTGTGCTATGAAAATACCCTTGAAAAGACAGTTCATGATAAAATTTGTCCCAAGACATGGAGAAACACAGGGACTCATGGTACATAGGTTCTCAACAATACCTACTGCTTTCTACACTTTAATGAATTTGCCCATGAAGATGCTAGTTGGTTGGTTATTGTGATTAATCTGACTACAAGTCCTGGAACCAAATCCATTCAATTTGTCTAATGTGGCATTTAATTAAAGTTAACATCAATAGGACTCCAAATAGCATGATGAGGCCAGTCTGTAAAACTGACCTTGCCCAGGCCTCCTTAGTGACCCCAAAGTGGAATAAATTGCGTGAACAATCAGCTTCTGCCTTAGAAAGGTAGACAGGCAACTTCTTCCATAACTCTCAGTACTGACTATTCCATTTTTCTTTAGGTAATAATTTGGGTATAAGAGCATCTATTAAATAAGATTGCATGAACTCCACCATAGCCTGTTAGGAGGTAGTCTAGGGCAATTCTTTCATCTACAATAACTTTGGTCATTGCTTTGGGACTGCCAGTAACATCTTTTAGGGCTAAGGTGCTGTGCAATGCATTTTGTATATATGTATGATTGAGATCCAAAGTATGATTGCATTTAATTGTCATATCTCTATAGTCTCCTTTAATTTGGACTAGAATTTCAACTTTTATCTTTGCTAATGACATTTTCAAAGAGTACAAATGAGTTACTGTGTACAGTGTCCTTCAGTTTGGTTCTTCTCCATGTTTCCCACGATCCCATTGACAAATTAAAAGGTTGAATTCTAACTGCATAACTTCATCAACACTACTAGTAAAATGTTCAAAATATGAGGCCATTCATTGACTTCAAAAGCCTACCTCTTTTGCAGGTATTATTAATTATTTCCTTCTCTGTACCCTCTTATAATGCTTTGCCATTATCTCTGTATGTTGTTTATTTTTGTACACTGAATAATTGTGGATCTTTTCCTTTTACTAGGATTGCAAGCTCTGTGAGAGATCAAACTGTGTCTTATTCATTTAAAATTGTTCTGTAGCAGGTGCAGGGTTCCTTGTTTAAATGGAGGAACAAAGAAATAATGACAATCTGATATTTTCACAAAAATGTCAAGTTATTTTCACATTGTCAAGTAACCATATTACAGAGAGGTTAATAGTAAGACAGGTACTGCTTTCTTAGGAAGGTCAAATTTTGTTCTTCTCTTAGATTAATTGTGCAAACCTTGGTTTTATGATTATATAAAAAATCAAATCAAAGAAAAATTATAAACTTACCTGAATTCATAAAACTACTCCTCAACCATTACTGTATTCTTAGAATTGTCAGTTTCCCTGGAAGGGTTCTTTTTAGGATCTTTTCTATATTCAAATTAATATCAAGTGCTATCCATACAGGATGTCCCTATATTACCAAACTGTTATGGTTTGTGTCTAGTTGTCCCCCCAAATCCTCATGCAGTCATGGGACGGGCTTCTAGAGTTTTGGATTGATTCATGGTGCAATGTTGGGATTATGGGTGTGAGTGCTACACCCGCCCTGGGGCAGGTAGTTTGCATACAATGTAAGGGAGGGAAAGAGGCTTGCTCCTGTTGCTTCTCCCTTTTACTCTTGCAGCTTTTGCTGTTTTCTGCCACCATGAACTGTTGCCCTGTGCCATGGGCCACCCTGCCTTGGAACCAGCCAAGTACAGTCTGAAACCTTCACAAACTGTGAGCTAAATAAACATTTCTTAAACCTTCCCTTCCTTAATTCTGGGCATCAGGTATTTCGTCTCAGCAACCAGAGAAAAGTAACTAAGACACAGACCTATCTTACCTTAGGATCTGGGCTCCACATATATGGTAAGTCATATTATTTGCTCATTATTCATGGATTTAAATTTATCCTAAATCACTGTGCTAATTCTTCCATATTCTGACCTCAGGCTTCCTTGTTCTTTTCTTTCCCATTTCCACACTGACTTTGCCTTTTGGATTTAGTTCTTTGTTAATGTCTTTCTAGTCCTGATCGTTGTAATCCTGATTTGGGTTCTTTCATCACTTACTTTCCTAGGTTCCCCTAAATTCTATCTTGGTTGCATATAAAAATAAAATTGAAGTAGCTAAATGAAAGTGGGAACTTGTTATTCAGATAGCTGAAAAGTTTGGCACTAATGCTAGCCTCACAGGCTCAGTTAACAGTGTTTGTTAAGCCTAGACCTGTTTTTGGTTAACTCTGCTATTAATGGGTACAGTTTTGCATCTGAATTAGTAACCCACTTGGAAAGTAACCCATTTGGAAAAACCTATTATCTTTATTCTTCCCCA